CAAATCGAGTAATTATTTATTATCTCTATCGCATTTTAGTGGATCCTATTTGTGATGATGTTCCCAAATGACCCAGAGGGGCCTGGTACTGATTATGTAGGCAAGGTTAACTTTGAACTGCTGATTCTGCTGCCTCTACCTTGTGAGCAGCGGGTTTACTGGGGTGTGCCCAAGCCCACACTCATGCAGTGCTGGAGGTCAAACCCAGGGCCTCATGCACACTAGACAAGCACTCCAGTAATCCAGCCACCTCCCAGCCCTGCTTACGAATTTTTTTTGTATAGAATTTTTGCATCATTGTCCACAGAAGATATTTTGTATTTGTAATGATGTCTTTATTGATTTTTCTTTTCAAAGAATACATTCTGTTCTCAAAGCATTATCGGGACTTTCCTAGACTTTGTTCCCAAGAGGAGTGTGCAAGACTGTTGTGGTTTTTCTTAAATGTTGGATTGAATTCCAAGTCCACCTGGCAATGGACTCTTACTGTTTATGCGAAGGCTATTTTTGTGGTCTCTGATTGGAAAAGAATAAAAATCTTCCATTGTCCTAGGACTTCTGAGAGGGAGGAAGAGACAGGGAGGAGGGGCCACATGCCGAATCCGAATGCCAGTTTCCCAAGAGGCACCTGCGCCAGTTCCTACCTTCCTCACATACTCTCCCTGACCCAGCAGGCTGGCAGTGGCCGGCCTTGTGGGTTTCACTTCTCAGGTTTCCAAGTTCCTCCCTCCCCAAGACGACCCAGTCCGACATTTCAGAGAAGGAAGGGCTCTGGTGTGGGGCAGAGGACACTGGGGTCAGGGAGAGCGGGTGGGGGGAGTGAGGAATGCTTGAAGCAGACAGAGGCTCTTTGTTTGCTCAGTTTCTGTGAAAATTGGGCAACGTTTGTAAACAGCAAATATTGGTTCAGAGGCCCACTGCCTTTCCGTCCACCCCTATCTGGGCAGCACCCCAAATTCCCCTGCACGTACACACACAACTTCAGTCGTTTTTAGCCAGAAAGCCAGCTCTGTGGTTGAGGTGTAAGCGTTTTACTCTGTTTGTGGTACACAATTTGGGTCACGAGCGTGCCGATCTGAAACTGGAAGCCCTCTTTAACTCCTTTCTCAACCTCTCTCCCTCTCTTCTCTTTTTCTCACCCTTTCTAAATAGAGAGATCAAATATTAAGAAAGCAGCTGTGGTCTCAAGAAGGCTAGCATTAGTTCTGAGTTCTACCCCCAAAGCTTACAAACCAGGAGCCCTCATTTTAACATACTGTTTGTGACTGGAAGCATGGATGCTGACTTCATCTGTAGGCCTGTAGATCAACACTACAGACCCTTGCCCCAGAACAGTGCCTGGAGCATGCGGGGGCGGGGTGTGTGTGTGTGTGTGTGTGTGTGTGTGTGTGTGTGTGTGTGTGCTGAAACTATGCTTTCCTTCCAACAAGGCACAACCCGAACAGTCCCACCTGCGGTTCTGCGGTCAGGCACTCATTCCCCTTCAAGGCTGACCAGGCCCTCAGACAGCAGAATTGCAGCAGAGGTGGGGGGGAGGGGCGGGAATGCCTGCAGGGGTGGGGGGGTGGGGGGGGGGTGGGGGGAGAGGTAGGGCTAGAGTCCATCCGTGTCTGTCACCTCCTCAGTGTGACCACAGATGAGCCTTCTTGGCCTCCATAAGTCCTGCTTTGCTGGAAGAAGCTGTGCCCCTGGGTGACGGGTTAACCTACAACAGTCTTCTGATTTTGTGTCTTGGCATTACTACTGACCTTTGGCAAGGCACTTCCCGTCTGGTCTCCTTGTCACATCTAGATGGAGATTCTCAGGTTGTTTTTTTTTTTTTTTTTTTTTTTTGGTTTTTCGAGACAGGGTTTCTCTGTGTAGCTTTACGCCTTTCTTGGAACTCACTTTGGAGACCAGACTGGCCTCGAACTCACAGAGATCCACCTGGCTCTGCATCCCGAGTGCTGGGATTAAAGGCCTGCACCACCACCGCCCGGCTAGATGGAGATTCTTAAGCACCGATACCAGGGACTGTAGTAAGAGGTCACTGAGGCCCTCCTGAAAGTCTCAGTCATTGTTAAGGTGTTCAAGAGGACAAGGAGTATCCGGAGGGTTTCGGGTACAGAATTAAATACACAAATGAGGACACAGATACAGATGTCTGGGGCCACCAAGAACACAGAGCACTGTGATGTCAATCTCTCATCCCCCACACTGTACAGACATACATAGACCTGGACACCCAGTATAGCCTGGGTTGCATTCACATGGACACCCCAAAAGCAGCCTTTGTCCAGCCTACCCTCTGAGGAATGAAGACACAGGGTTTTTCCTGAACAAGAACCAGTGGCCTGGACCTCTCTACCAGGTATGTGTGGATGACATGGTCGCTCTAGGTACTCATGTCAAACCGGAACGTTCTCCATGTCCTGTGTACCTCTCTGGGCTTGGACTCAGAGGATCCCTCTGAAGCAGGGCCTCAAGTTGGCTGGTCTGGTGAGGACCCAGGGAGACCAGAGACTTGGCTAAGGCAAGGCTGTAAGCCTGTGATGGAGGAATAGCTTGAGGTGGGCTCATTTTGTGGGCATAGGAGAGGACAAGGGAGGGACAGTCATTTTCTGTGTCTTCCATGCCCTGCTCTGAGCATCCCTGAGTTCGTGTCATACATTCAACACCTCACAATTCCCCCTTCCTGCTTCTGGCATCAGCCGGAAGTGTACCTGTTGCTCTACCATGAATCTCCACCCTCATCTTCATGTTCCTACCTCCAGGTGTCAAATGAATCCAGACTACATCCTAACGCCTGCCGTGGGGTGGCAGTGGGAATATAACTTTGCTGCATAAGGAACCATGAGAGGGTCAGGGGACAGAACCCAGGGCAGCAGAGGTTTCTCTTCCTCATTAGTGATGCACATGTCTGCCTCAGGTCCCCTAAACCCTTGTTAAACCAATGGTCTCTGGAGCAGCTGGTGTGTCTCCTTCCTACAGGAGACCATCTACTGGCTTAGCAATAGTTATCGCTATTGCAAAAGATGAACAAATCGGTACTTGTGCTCAGTGCGTGGGTTGGCTCTGTCTCCTCATCTGGGTCCATAGGCTGGACCGTAATCTGTGATCTGGAGCCCCTGAGGTATCCTGAGGGAAGATGGGGATCCTCTCAACAAAGGCTGGCCAAGAGAGAGGAGTTCTGGGTGCTTGCTTCACCCTGTCCCTGTCTTTTGTTTTTGACATTTTTGACATTTCCATGTTTAGGATGTCCAGTTACATGAGTATTAGGTTAGAACATTTGACCTTTGGGCTAATGAGATGGCTCAGTGGGCAATGCAGATTTCAACCTGGCGACTTGAATTTGATCTCCAGAACCTCCACAGTGGACAGACAGAACTGACTCCTGAAAGTTGTCTTCGGACCTTCACACTGTGACATGTGACACATGTGCACAATAAATAGCAAAGGAAGAAAACATGACTTTCTCCCTAACCCTCACAAGACATACACGTGCCTTTAAAACATTCCTGTTTCTGTTCCTACCCAAGCAGCCGGATTAGCATGTTGACTGGGCCTGGCATGAGCTCTCCCCATCTTCTAAAATGTGAAGTAGACCTGCATCACTGGTCCACTCCTGGTAGAGAGGTCCAAGCTCTTGGTTCTTGTACAGGAGAAGGACAACAGAATCCTGTGCCTGGCATTCTTCTGAGGGGTCCACAGGACAAGGCTAGCCATGGGGATGGACGTGTTGCATGGTTGCATGGGAGGCTCGGGCCTGTGTCCGTCTGTAGGGATGTGTGTGTGTGTGGGGGGGAGGTGACAGGTTGGCATCACAGCATTCTGTGTCCTTGGTGGCCCCAGACGTCTGTATCCATGTCCTCAGTTATGTGTTCAGTTCTACACCAGAGACCCTCTGGACATTCACGGTTCCTCTGAACACCTTAACCATGGCTGAGACTCGCTGAGAGCGTCACTGGGCCCTTCCCACAGCCTGACATTGGTGCTTTAACACCTCCACCTTATGGACTTGACAAGGAGACTGGGGGCCAGAGTGGACAACATCTTGATTAAGATGAGTAAGAACTGGTTTTTGAAAACCCTAAATTCTCCTGATGGTTCTGAAATCTGGGTTTACATTTTGCCTACAGCGCCTTGACCTTTTCCTGAGTGTATATTGTGTCCTGAGATGGTATTTGAGGTAATATACCCAGAGGGACATTTTCAAACACCTATTTTATTTTTACTTCATTCCACGATTTTCCAGTCCGTGTACAGGGTTGAAATGCACAACTGTCGTTATAGTGAAAATAGCACACATGGAGGGTACAAACGCAATATTTTTGAGATAAAATCATGCAGTCAAATCGGTTTGATGACTACTTAATCCGAGGGGAATCGGGATGAACAGGAAGCATCCTCCCGGGCTGTTCTTTGCACTAACACTGGCCCTCTGTTCTGAGTTTCACAGTTTGACCACTTACTAGCAGTGAGAGAGAGTTTCCTGCCCCTGTGACTGTTCCTAGCCTGGACTGTCCCACCAGAAGCTCAGGGCGGGGAGGAGAGAGAGAGAGAGCTGGCGATTGGAGTGTTCCCGGGACCACCTGCCGAGGAGCGAGGGGTGCTGCCTCTCTAACCAGCGCCCAACTTTCTTCTCTTTCCGGTTCTAGTCTGGGGTCCAAGTCAGTTCCCTTCCTTCTCTAGCCCCAGTCTCCCCTCGTGTAAGGCTGATGAAGTTGCTGGCAAGCAGCTCTGGCACCCGGGGTTCTGGAGCAAGCCACTCCCGCCCAAGCGGCTGTAGCCATGCCGTTCCTGGCACCGAGAGAGCAATGATAACAAAGAGTGGATTTGGTTTAGGCTTCCTTCTAAACAGTTTTGTGTTTTTTTTTTTTTTTTTTTTGTGGTGGTGGTGGTGGTGGTGGTAGCGGATTCCATGCGCGGTTCTCTCATAGTTCAGGAAATGAGGTGATTATCAGGGCAAGAAAGGAAGGGGGGTGGATGCGGGGCGATTGGGCAACTGGACAGAGCAAACACAGGAGGTCAAAGATTGCACCCAGCCCGCCCCCTCCGGCAATAAAGGAGAGCGGGTCACAGAGAGGCGGTGCAGAAGCGGGTCGGTCTGTGCTCCCCGCTACTCGCCACACACCCCGGGAGGATGAGGTTCGCCGTGGGCGCTCTGCTGGCCTGTGCTGCCCTGGGTGAGTGTGGGCAGGGAAGGATTATGCATTCCCTGCAAGCTAAAGGCTGGAAGCCTCCAAGAGCCTGCCTTTTGCTTCCTCTCTGCCACATCTCTATGGTCTTCAATAGCTTAGGAATAACCTTGATCCTCAGGCGTCTGGGACCCTGACTCAGTCTCTACCTTTTACTACGCTCCTCAGGCTGTCTCCCCTAAGTCCAGTAATTTGCAGACATGGTATATGACACGTTAGAAAACTTTTAACCACTTTGCCCAGGCGCTACACAGAGTCTCCCCGTGCAATCCAGACAGCTTGGTGTGATAGTCAGGGCTTCTGGGATCTAACCTTGCTATCTTTTCATTGTCTGACGTCCCTTGGATGCCTTTGGCGCTGGTGGCTTAGACTACAGTGTGGGATTTGAAGCCAGAGTTCCCTTTTTTTTTTTTTAATTTCGAGACAGGGTTTCTCTGTGTAGTTTTGGTGCCTGTCTTGGATCTTGCTCTGTAGACCAGGCTGGTTTCAAACTCACAGAGATCCTCCTGGCTCTGCCTCCCGAGTGCTGGGATTAAAGGCGGTCGCCGCCGCCGCCGCCGCCGCCGCCACCACCACCACCACCACCACCCAGCTGAAGCTAGAATTCTTGAGTTCAAATCATGCCTGTACTTCTCCTATGACAGCTGTAGTTACAGCATCTGGCTGGGAGGGTCAGGTGCGGGTGAGGTCACAGGTGCCAGTCATATATCCTGCTGATTGCTCTCCAGATGGGGTCTCGAAGACCCACGTGCCTGCCCTAGTTGGACTGTAGTTAGCATTTGTCACGTTGTCCGAACCTTCTAGTTTGAGTTACTTGCCTTCCTTGAAAACGGTCAGCTTGAAGAGGCTCCCATGCTAGTCAGCTCGGGGCACTTCATGTGACTGTGCACAGTGGTGCATGACCAAGGACAACATTTACAATTTAGATGAACTAGTTTGAAGAGGCTGAGGAGGTCGTTTAGAGAGAGTCTGCCACTGGTTTTCCCCTGGCCAGGGTGGAATAAAGGAAAAGAGTTGGGGCACCCAGCCTCCCTGTTGTCCTTCCTTATCCGTCCTGAAGGACCGCTGGCCTTGCCCGCCCGACTCCATGCTTTGTGCTTTGTGGACCTTGATGAGTCAGGAATTGAGCCCCGCTGAGCTGCCCGAAAGGGGATGTGATGGAAGCTGGCAGTGCCAAATCTCATGGATTATGGGATCTCTCTATCACACGGATTTTAACAGTGACACCGATGGGAAGATGGTTCAGCTGGGGAGATGCTTCCCATGGCAGCATGAGGACCTCCACTCAGAACCCCAGCAGCCATGGAAAAAGCTGGGTACAGCAATGCTCTGGGGAGACAGAGACAGGAAGATCCCAGGGAGTTACGACCAGTCCAGTCCATCTAGTAGAGCCAGCAAGGCTTAGATTCAGTGAGAGTCCCTGTCTCAAAAGAACCAGGCAGAGAGTAATAGCAGAAGACACCCATGTTGCCCTTTGCCTCCATGTGTACCCATCTGCACACATGTGCATGCACACACACACACACACACCTATTTATACAAGCACATACACACAAATAGTGATGCACATGATTGTCTTCAGCTGTTTCTCTAAATGGAAGCCAAAAGGGGGTAAAAGCATTGAGGGAAGGTTTGGTAGAAGCAGAAGCCTGTTGAATAGAAGGGAGTTTCTAGTTATTTCTAAACAGAAGATAGCTGAAAATCTCAGGGGTAAATTCACAATCTAACTGCCGCCCAGAGAGAGGCAAAGCACAGAAGATTGTTATCTTCCTCTGTGGCCTGGCCAGCAGACCTAGAGTCTGGGCTCCTAACAAAAAGGGTGACCTTGGGCAATCCTGCATCATTCCCGGAGTCCAGCTCTCTGGTTTCTAAAAGATGGCATCCCTTTCCCCAGACCCCTAGAGCTGTATGTAGTATAGAGCCTGTGTCCAGGTGACTGAGAATGGTGCTTTCACACTGAAGCTCACGTTTGGATGTGACCTTCAGCCATGACAGTGAGGCAAGGAGGTGGGAGAGGAGTGGGTTGTCATCCTCAGCTCCCCCAGCAAGCCCTCCAAGCAGCCCAGGCTTTGGTGGGAAAATGAGAGGCCGTTGGGGTGAATTCCCTTCTCTGTTCCCAGTATCGGAATGCACCAGAGCCCTGTGCTCTGTCATGACGGCCATCAGGAGTGGGATGAGGGTGCAACAGGGGGAGGTGCCATCAAGACCCTGCAGAAAGTGGGGCTTTCTCTCCCCTGGCACAGGGAGCGGGTCCCTCATGCCTCTGCCTTCTCTCCGGCAGGACTATGTCTGGCTGTCCCTGACAAAACCGTAAGATGGTGCGCAGTGTCCGAGCATGAAAACTCCAAGTGCATCAGTTTCCGTGACCACATGAAAGCCGTCCTTCCAGCTGACGGTCCCCAGCTGGCTTGTGTGAAGAAAACCTCCTATTCCGACTGCATCAAGGCCATTTCAGTAAGTCCCGCTGCCTCGCACGGTAGAAGGCTGCAGGGTTGCTTTCTGTAGTCAGTTTGGAATAATGTCAGGTAGGAGGCAGATGGGTGGGGCAGTCAACCCCTGCTGCTCTTCAGATCACTTTGAAAATGGAAATAGAAGAGGTCATCTTTACCGTCCATAAGGCAGGGGACAGTGTGCTTTCAAAGGTGACTCTGTTGAGGCACGTAAGTTCTGTGAACTCGGGAAAATAGGAATGTCTGTGGCATTAAAAATTATTGCTTAACCCTGCTGGGAAATTCTATTCCTCTCTCTTCTTCCTTCCCTCCCTTTCTCTTTCCTCCCTCTGTGTCTGTCTGTCTGTCTGTCTGTCTGTCTGTCTCTCTCTCTCTCTCTCTCGTGTGTGTGTGTGTGTGTGTGTGTGTGTGTGTGTGTGTGTGTGTGTGTGTGTGTGTTGCTAGGGCTTGAGCCCAGGGTTTGGGAAATGCTAGGCACACACTCTACACTACATTCCATCCCCCCACCATACCGGTCCTGGACACGTCTTTGGAAAGATGAGTGAATACAGGGGCAGGAATTAAGAGTGGTGATGGCGGATGACAGCTGACCCCTTTGTTTTCCACTCTCCCTCAGCATTGCTCTTGTACATCTGAGCATGGCTGTCCCTCTACTACTACTGTCTCACGGAGCTGCAGGGTTGGTTACCTTCACCCTCGAGGTGTCCACAACCTAGTAAGGAAAGAAGAAAGGGTTGCTAGTGGGTGAACTATTCATGTCAACAAACGTAAAGAGTGGCGTTCCAACAGGCACACATAAAGACAACTTTTCGTTTCTGTAGTCACTGTCTATCTCTTAGAGAAGGAAGCAATGGAGCTAAAAGTCAACAGATGACCCAGGGTAGGGCTCTCTATGAAGAGCCATGGGTACACACCAGGAATGTACACAGCACACTCAAAGGCAGAGCCCAGCTGGTGTGAGGTGTAAGCAGGAAACCAGAGAAACCCAGCCAGCTCCTAAGTAGAATAGGACAAACAAGATTTGTAATTGTGAGTACAGCCAGTAGGGGGAGAACTGAGCTCCATTTTAGTGTGTGCAGAGGTAAAGCAGACATTTTGATCAAGAGAGGAGGAGAGCAGGAACTCAATAGAGTATGGAAAAGAGTAGCCGAAGATTGCTCAAAGAGGACCTGGTGAGGCCAGCAGTGTCGGCTGACTGGCAGGTAGATATTTAGGGTTCCATTTTCACACAGAAGTGGGGATACAGATGCCCGGGCTTCCTGATGGATATACATCAAAGGAATGTGTGTGTGTGTGTGTGTGTGTGTGTGTGTGTGTGTGTGTGTGTGTGTACGGTTTAATGGACAGGAAGCTGGATGGCCATCACTTGGGACTGGGGCAATGGGGGTGGATAGAGTTTCACTGGGGAAGATGAGAATGTTCTGGAGATGGATGGTGGTGATGGTCTCACAACAATGTGAATTATTTAAGTGTCCATTTTTAAATGGCCACAATGGTAATGTGTGTGCCTATTTTATGATAATAAGGCAACCAAAGCCATTAAAAATTTGACTTCTATCATTAGTGATTTCACTTAGACATACTTTCTTATTACTTACCTGTAACATGACAGAGACCATGAAGTCATAGTTTTTTGCCTTAAAAATCGATCAGTAAGAACTCTGTTTTCAAGTGTCTAGATCAGTGGTTCTCAACATGTGGATCACGACCCCTCAGGGATCATTGAACAACCCTTTCACAGAGGTCAACTAAGATCATTGGAAAACACAGATATTTACATTACAATTCATAACAGTAGCAAAACTATAGTTATGAAGTAGCAACAAAATAATGTGATGGTTGGGGGTCAGCACAACACGAGGTACTGTATTAAAGGGTGGCAGCATTGGGAAGGTTGAGAACCACTGTGCTAGGTCAAAGGCAGATGTGCTCATTTTAAGACTTTAAGCCAAGGACAACCCATTTGTGGGACTCCTCCCCACCACAGGGGACTGTGCTCTGCTTTTGAATAAACCTTGCTAGACCCTTTAAAAGAAAAGACTTTGAGGAAGCAGAAAATATGCTGTTGACATCGTTGGAATAGTTCAAGCGGCTTATTGATTGAAACACAAGAGTCTAGTGGGGCATGAGGGTGTATGCTTGTAGTTCTAGCACTTTACAGGCTGAGGCAGGAGGCTCATGAGTTCAAAATCAGCACAGATACATAAACTGCCTTAAAACAAACAAAAATACCAAAAAAATGTTGAACATTCACAAAAGCCTAAAATAAAATAAGCAATGTTGAAGTAACGATGATGAGAAATAAGCCCGACTATCTGGCCCCAAATCCCAGTTGAATATCTTGGCAGTCATGTGACATCCTGAAGTGGCTTAACCTGTATAGGACTCCGTTTTTTGCTCACCTGTAAAAATTGAACTGGGGGTGAGGGAGTGTCAGGCATCCAAGTAGACAATTATACCAGAAATGAAAGTGAGAGGGTGACCCTGAACCTTGATCCTCCTGCCTGGGTCTACCAAATTCTGGGATATCAGGTGTGTGTGAGCATGGCATGCTGGTTCCTACTGTTTCATGGGCCCAGGACTACAGGGAAAAGCGAGGAATCCCGAGTCGGTGGTAGGCCAAGTGCCTTTAAGGTCTTCATCTTCCTCGGAGGCCGCTCCACAACAGCACCCACAGAGGAGCTACAGGAATGCTTAAAACACAAGGGTGTCTGAATGAAGGACCCTTCTGTGTGGCTGAGCATGGAAACAGATATAAAAACCACGACAGGCCCTGAGTGTTCAATACAACCCTGTCAGAACCTACAGTACACTGGCTGTGCCCACCTCCAGAGAGGGAAGGACTCTTCCCCCCACCAAGCCTGCCAGGCCAAGCCTCTACAATTGCTGAGAGTAGATCTACATTACGGTATTTTGGGCCAGGCTCTGGACACATCAGGGAAAAGAGAAAAACACTCTGTCTCTTTCTCTACAAAGGAACAAATGTGAACAGTAGCCAAGTGGTCTTTTGACAGACATGGAATCAACCCAAGCCAGCAGGGTTGGATGTGTTTTGGCTAGAGTTGGGGTTTTCTGGCCCTGGACCCATGGGGCATCGCTAGTCCCTCCCCATCTGTTCTGGCTTAGGGAGGCTTTCTTTGGAAGCAAGGGCTTCATTGAGAGTTATTCTCTTTTAGGGTAGTGAAGCAGATGCCACAACCTTGGACGCTGGTTGGGTGTATGAGGCAGGCCTGACTCCCAACAACCTAAGGCCTGTGGCAGTAGAGATCTATGGGACACCTGAAAGTAAGTTCTCCCAAAGTGCCCAGGAGGGTGTGTTGTGGCTTTGTCTCCTGGTAGAGATTAAATCTCCTTTCATAGGCAGATATCAGATATTAGATACTAGCAAGTGTTCTCTTTGGGGAGTCAGTGGGGAGTGAGAAGATCTTCTAGCCCTCTAGGCACAAATCAAAGCATCTGGGGACTTCGGGCTGGTTGAAGGCTGGTATGGACCTTCTGAGTCAGGCATCCTCACTGGACAAAGAGAGCAGCCTGGGGTCCAGCTTGGCCTTCATTGGCGCTGGTGATTTGTCCGAGCTCCCTGGAGCCTCAGGTGCCATGGACACGGGAGAACCCACCCTATGGCACACAGTGAGAGCCCAACAGTCCAAGAAGTCTTCTAAGATTGTTCTGACTGTCCCTGTCACCAGAGGACATAAAATACTTGGAGGGGGGCAGGGAATGTAAGCCTGTGTTGTTGCAGCTGTGCGTTCCTGGTGGCCCTGGGTTGATGAGAGTAAGGTAAACAGAGCATCCTTGACCCGTGAGTAGGTGCTTCTCGACTCTGTTTTTCTGGAATGATGCTACAAGTGTACCATTTGTCTTGAAGCCTACAGAAGTTTCTCTGGCTTCTTACCAGCCAGTTCCATCTAAGTTACCCCTGGGTCTCTCTTCCCTCAGTCAGAGCCAAGCACTGATGAGCGGTGCTTCCCTGTGCCCTGTCAAAGCCCTCCATTCACACTGTCCCCTTTCAGAGCCACAAACCTCCTACTTGGCTGTGGCCGTGGTGAAGAAGGATACGGGCTTCCAGCTGAATGAGCTCCAAGGCAAGAAATCCTGCCACACTGGCCTGGGCAGGTCTGCAGGATGGAATGTTCCCATCGGCTTACTTTTCTGCAATTTTCCGGAGCCTCGCAGTCCTATTGAGAAAGGTAAGCTATCACCTCTATTCTGGATGTCCTGCTGAGGTCACACAGTCATGATTAGTCAGGCAGGTAGGCTGAACTCTCAGGTGGTGGAGAGAGATTGAAGCACTAGAGAGTGGTGGGTCCGTAGCACCAGCTGTCCATGAGAAGTGGCAGCTGAGCCGTTTTTGTTGTTGTGAGCGCCCAATACCCCAGCAGAGGCTAGCCTGAAGAGGGGAGAAAGGGGCAGATGGGCCTACAGTGGATTTCCATATTCACTTTAGCAGCTGGGCCTGCCCTCCACCCTAACCCCCAGTTCCTGGCTGGAGATGTGAGTCATTCTGCTAAAGGGTGCTTTGGTGCCACCTGCTGGTCATGAGGTTGTCCTGCACCTCTCTAGGCTGTTCTACCACGCCCAGGGGCGCCCTTTCTCGGACAGATCTGGGAGCAGAGGAGGCTGACAAAGGCCTAGGGCAAGCCTTGGTGAGCAGGAAGTAGGGACTGGTGTACCTTGGAGGGTAACTGCAGGGCAGGGGTTAACCTATTCCTGTTTAGAAACCGTGCTTAGCACATGCAAGGCTGAGCTAAGACTGTGCTCTCTGGCTTCACGGCTTCATGCCTCTGCATTCCCTCGCCGGGCCAGACTGTGTGATGGCATTCTGCTTATGCCTTGTCGTCCATTTCTTTGTATTGAGCAGCTGTGGCCAGTTTCTTCTCGGGCAGTTGTGTCCCCTGTGCAGATCCGGTGGCCTTCCCCCAACTGTGTCAGCTGTGTCCAGGCTGTGGCTGCTCCTCTCTTCAACCGTACTTTGGCTATACAGGCGCCTTCAAGTGAGTGAGATGGCCGCTCTGTGGTGGCCAGTGCTGAAAGTCCTCAAATGGGGGTTCTTTGCTGATCCAAAGCAGATGACCTGCCTAAAGGCATCTGGGGGGCTTAAACTTCTCCCAAGGAGGCAGTGGTACAACTTGGGACTCTTAAGGCCAGGCGAGGCTACATTCCCTTTCATCTGATGTCAAAGGTCAAGCCCTGTCTGGGAGTCCTCTCTTTCCTCAGAGCTCTTGCATCCGGCTGGTGTCTCCTCTCATGGAGCTGGGCAGCATCCAAAGGGACCAACACACCCCTAGTGCCTGTGGGTGTGACAGCCTCTGCCCCCATGACAGCAGTGAACCATGCTCAATGTACTGGACACTCCCCTGGCCCTACCTCAACAGCACATGTGGCTTTTAAAAAAAAATTTTTTTTACATATATTTTGATCATATTCTTTCCCTTCCCCCAACTCCTCCTAGATCCTACACACACACACACACACACACACACACACACACACACACACACACCACCACCACCACCACCACCACCAACAACAACAACAACAACAACAACAAAGGTCAAAACAAAACAAAAACCAAACAAACAAAAAGCACACAGGGGGAAAAGAAAACAAAATATGGGGTCTGCTTTCCATTGGCCAACTACTCCTGGGGCATGGGGCCTGCCCTGAAGAAAACTGATTTTCCAAGCAAGCAAGCTTCTTGGTTGGGGTGGGGAGGCTTTGTGTCATGTGGCTGGTTTCTTGCTCTCTCTTTTTATCTTGTTTATACCCTGAAGTCCTCATAGCCAGGGTAGAAATACCATCATCTTCTGCACTAGGGATTTGAAGCCTTTTTACATTAAAATGTCTCCCCCTTCTTTTTGCCAGTTTGGGGTACAAATCTGGGGGCGTTCATCTTGGGTGAACTCACCCTCCCTCAGCCGTGTGCAGGATGTCAGCAGACCACAGAGTTCATGTGCTTCTTTCCCACAGGTGCCTGAAAGATGGAGGTGGTGATGTGGCCTTTGTCAAGCATACAACCATCTTTGGTAAGTGATGGGAAAGGACTGTGGCAGGTGCCCTGCCCCCCTTTTCACAGTTGGTAGGCGGACATGGGCATGCAGGGTTTCTCTACCATTGTTTGAGTTTCTACATGTGCGGAGGCAGGTGCTTGGGGGCGGGGGGGTGTTCTCCACCTAGATTCCTGGGCCTCTTTCTGTCACTCAAACCGTATAATGGCTTTATCTCTAGGGCAGATTTGCCATAGCCAAGGTTTGGAGGTTGGTCTGGCTGACCTTGGCCTGTCAGCAGTCTTGCTGAGCTCAGGCTCACGGGATAGAGGCAGTCATTGCTTCCCTGGCCCACAGAAGCCTCCATGCCTTCATCTGGTTATAGGTGCCTCTTCCTGCATGTTCCTTGGCCCTCAGAAATCCCTCCAGGTCGGACCCTCAGCTCATGCTTCCTATGATAACAGGACTACAAAGGACGGGAGGGGCTCAGCCTCCCACAGGCTGACCTGAGCTTTCCCTCCTTAGAGGTCCTGCCAAACAAGGCTGACAGGGACCAATACGAGCTGCTCTGTCCCGACAACACCCGCAAGCCAGTGGATCAATATGAGCAGTGCTACTTAGCCCGGATCCCTTCTCACGCTGTTGTGGCTCGCAGTGTGGACGGCAAGGAGGACTTGATCTGGGAGATTCTCAAAGTGGCCCAGGTATTCCACCCACCATCCTCTCCCCTGCTTACAGACCTGTGCTCAGATCTTCTTGACATCAGGATGTACTAGAACAGTCCTTGTGTGTGTTCAGGACACAGTGGGGACCCTGTCATGCATTACCAACCTCTCCAGCATCCCCAGTTGGGACTCCTTGTAGAGTAGCAGGTGTCTTCTCTGGTATCAATATTCACCTTTTGACCAATGATACCTTCTCTATCTAAGGGAGGTCCTCAAGGTCCAGAGCAAATCCCAAGAGGCTCTCCTATAACCCAAAAGGAAAGAGAATTTCTCTTTATCTCCCTACTCCCCCCGACACACACACCACACACACACACACACACACACACACACACACACACACACACACACACACACACGTCCTGACTGCAGAGGGACAGGCTTTCCCCTGCCAGTTCTGTGCCTCGTGGCTGGGGTTGGTAAGACAACTTCCTCTGGTCCCGCCTACTCATCTGTCCATCACGAGTTTAAGGGGGCAGCCATCCAGTGCCAGCCTCTGCACTAGACTCACTGCCTGTTCTCAGCTAGCTCTCAACCACTCAGGAAGACAGGCTCAGAAGCACAGGGGAGGAGAAAAGTGGTACGGTCCTTAAAAAAATACTGGACAAAGACGGTGCTAGGTGATGGAGAGCATGCCTGAATGCCTTGTTTCCTGGTACCTCCAAGTTTCTTGTGGTTTTAAAATCAGTTTCCTGGAGTTTTTCCTTGTTCTCTTCAGTCCTGCTTTTTACCTCCCTGATCCCTGTTGCTCTTTGCTGCTCTGTTTTTTCCCCGGAAACAGGAACATTTTGGGAAAGGCACATCAAAAGACTTCCAACTGTTCAGCTCTCCTTTGGAGAAAAATCTGCTGTTTAAGAATTCTGCCATCGGGCTGATAAGAGTCCCCTCAAGAATGGACTACAAGCTGTACCTCGGCCATAATTATGTCACTGCCATACGGAATGTACGGGAAGGAACATGTAAGTACTCAGGAAAAGCCAGGAATGTGGGCAACCAAGGCAAGTTTAAGAAGCAGCCATAATCTCTCTGGGGACTGTCAGCCTCTCCTGGTGTTCCTATTTCTGTCATGCTTGTGAGCACAGGGCTGGACTAATGCTGGGTGGCATCAACCATGAGAGGGTCGGGAGGTCACCAAGGGCTTTAAAGGCTGTTCACATTTTAAATGACCTGGGTCGGTACTGGTATCATTTCCTCTGCATAAATCAGGGTATTCCGATGACTCAAAGTTTCTGCAGATTACACATCCCTTGCCAATACTATGGTCAACATAGGCATAATGAAGCTGTAGGTCTAGGGAGGTTGATCTTGCCCTGGGTGTCATTGGGGCACTGGAGGTTTGCCTAATAATTTATTCATTCAGTGGATATATATTGAACATCTAGCCACACTGCTAGATGCTGGACTTAAAAACACATATTAGGTTCTGTTGTCTTGGGACTTTCAGGCCAGGGAAAGGACACATGTTTGAGAGATGGTCACACTACTGAACAACTGATTACAAAGTGAGAAAATGAAAACTAACAACAACAACAAAATAACGAGGTCCTACGAGAGTGCAAAGCAAAGTCAAACAGACCCTCCTGGCCAAGAGTTGAGCCCCCCGAGGGAGTGATTTGGGGACCAAGCCTAAAAGATGAGCATGTGCACATATATCTGCCAGTCTATCTATCTATCTATCTATCTATCTATCTATCTGTCTGTCTGTCTGTCTGTCTGTCTGTCTGTCTTTGCTGGACACTTATTATACTGACCCCATGATAACACTGATTAACTAGGAGGGTACCCTGGTGAGTGAGTTAGGTGTGTCCCTTTCTTTAGTAGCACTTAATTCTCCCATGTGGAAACCTATGACAAACAATGAACATAGAAATGATTGGTTAGTTAAAACTGCTATTTGAAAAAGAAGGAAGAAAGAAAAGTGTTCAGATGTTAGGGTGTCCTGAGGTTAGAGAGTTGGCTTTGCAAAAGAAAAAGTTGGTGAAGCATTAATCTAATTAATCTTTAGCAAATAAAAAGAATCAGGAGTCAAATATTAGGGTGAGAACCTGAAAGATCAGAGAACCAGGGGCAGCCACCAGTTGCTTCCTACTTCCTTTGTCCCTCCATCCAGAAAGGGTCGTGATCCTCCTTCAGCTCTGCTTTACCGCTTCTTGTCCATCTCTCTACAATCCTCCAAACCTCTATGGCCAGCTAGTGGCTAGCTCTGCCCTCTGACTCTAAGCAAGCTTGATTTGTCAGAACACAATCAAAATATCACACAACATTTCCCCCTTTTTTGTCTAAAAAAAGCGAAGGTTTTGACTAACATAGTAAAACTATACACAGTAATACAATAACTATATAAATATATATAGGCAAGAATTACATTAACAATGTCTAGTCCATTTGCACTTGACAAATTCAGAGAAAATATTCCATTATCTATCCTATCTTGGTGAGTCCAAAGCGTTGTACCTAATTCAATTTCTATCCTAATTTACATTACCAACTCAAAACTATCTTTTTATGTCTTTCAACTTTATACACTTTACACCTCACTATTGAGTTTCTTTTCTGAATTTGGTAACAAGGGAAACTATAACTATCTAGTTTTCAACTCCATCAGAGACCTGAGAAGGATATAAAATTCCTTGAGTAAACAGAAGTGCAGAACAAACAATTTCTAAAATTAAGAAATGACAGAAACAGCTGGCTGCCTGGACAGCCACCCAAGGTTCCTCTGTAACATTAGAGCATCCATCTTCAGCCTACAGGCCTAGAATATCTTACAGACTTTACTATGAAGCCGGGTTTTTGAAGGACTCTCTTGCCTTGTCTTGGCAAAGTTTGGCAGTCCTTTCTTTTGTGTCCTGCATGTCTAATTTGGACAGCCTACTATCAGCCGTTGAGGCAAGGGCAGTTTCTTGCCCAGTGGCTAACTTTTGCTACAAAGAAAGTAAACTCATATGAAGTTTACTTTCATCATCTTCTCTGAAGTAGATTGGCACTGCCAGGAGCAGGCATGTCTCATTGTCACTAATTAAAAAAAAAAGAACCTTGTGTTATTAAAACATCTTAAATGCCATATTCTGTAGATCTCTGAAATGTTTGAAGACAACCTGTCTATCTAAAGTAGATCTATTTGACCTTGAAAACATATCTAACATGACTACAAGTTTGATTGTAATAGGTGACTAACTACTGACCTGCATTTATTTATTATCCTAAATAGCTTGTAATAATAACTTTCAAGGACTAGAAATTTACAATATATTGTTAAATAAGCTGCGTAGGTACAATACCTTAAACAAGAGTAGAAATGTAAGTACAGTATGTTCTAACAAAAATAACCTTAAATTTGTATCAATATGCAAAAATATCTTAAACAAGAGTAGAAACATACACAGTATAACAAAAATAAACTCAAATTTGTATCAATATACAAAAGTGCAAACCAGTGTAAAACATTTAAAACTAGTAGTTACTTTTTTGGTTTAAAAGTAGATCCCTGAACAATATCCCTGAATCTAATCTCCTTTGTTCAGCTTTTTTCCTGACCATTACCAATAACAACTTGTAAACAACCCCTCTTAAATGATAATAAACATCCATAACCCATTTTTTGGGAATGTGGGCATAGTTCTCTAGACGACTTCCTGCTGGTTGGGGTACTTGTAATCTTTGGGGGACCTTGAGAAAATTCAGGATTATGGTCAAGTTCTGACTGGAGTATTCTGTGAGGCTATATCATCTCAGCAAGCAGCCTTGAAGCTGTTCTGGATGTAGAATTCTGAGGAGACTGTAACAGAGGCATTTTGAGATGCTGGATCACCTGGCAGGATTTCAGGGGTCTTCTTCAATCAAACCTGTTTTTCTTTAACCCAGAATGAATCGACAACTTCTCATTTCATGTGGAAATAAAAGCAGAATCTCTCCCCCAAAGTAACACATCTTTTGACTTAAATTTTGAAGTCAAAATATCTTTAAAATATATAAGTTGGTTGAATCTAGCAGTTTTTATAATCCAGTATCTCTTAGTAGCCAAAAAATTCAAAGACAATACAATAACATACAAGATCCAGCCTCTCTGTGTGCTTCCCATCTTTATATGGCTTATTATATATTTTTATTACTCTATTCCTTTTTAAGGACTTTCTCTACTCTTTTTATTTTCTCTCCCAAGCCTACGTATATTTTTAAGCACACTGTAATGTTTAGAGGTTTTTCTTGTCTGAACCTGTCTTTACTACATATCTGTAACCTTTTCTGTCAGCATGAGCAAAAACCCTAAACCCACCACGAAGCATGTTGGTGGGGCTCTCAAGCCTGTATGAGGTGACTGGGAGAAGCCTCTCTGTACTGTGGCCCATGTGGGAGACTGTGGGAGCCTGCCATGCTGCTTAGCTCATGGCAGTTGGTGGTGGCTCCACCTCACAGGCAGTTTGTAGCTAGAGTTTTCCTGACTGGCCCACAGTCAGGACAAATCTCTTTCACCCGCCAGTCCCACAGCCACTCAAACCCGCCCAAGTAAACACAGAGACTTATATTGGTTACAAACTGTATGGCCGTGGCAGGCTTCTTGCTAACTGTTCTTACAGCTTAAATTAATCCATTTCTATTAATCTATACCTTGCCACATGGCTCGTGGCTTACCGGCATCTTCACATGCGGCTTGTCATCATGGCGGCTGGCAGTGTCTCTCTGCCTCAGCCTTCCACTTCTCAGCTTTATTCTCCTCCTTGTCCCGCCTATACTTCCTGTCTGGCCATGGGCCAATCAGTGATTTATTTATTGACCAATCAGTAACACATTTGACATACAGACCATCCCACAGCAGCAGTTGTCTAGAGATGCATCTCTACCCCGCAGCTGGCATGCCCAGTGTGGCTCTATTTCTGTGTATTTAGAACCCTTTTTAAGCTTTCTCAGGTCTTATGTGGATCCATGCCCCAAGTTGGGTGCCAGGTGAAGCGTCAATCTAATTAATCTTTATCAATAAAAATATGGAGTCAAATATTAGGGTGAGAACCTGAAAGATCAGAGAACCAGGAGCAGCTGCCAGTTGCTTCCTACCTCTTTCGTTCTTCCATCCAAACAGGGCTGAGATCCTCTTCCTGTCTCCTCTTCCTGTCTCCTCTCTCTACAGTCCTCCAAACCTCTATGGTCAGATAGTGGCTAGCTCTGCCCTCTGACTCCAAGCAAGCTTTATTTGTCAGAACACAATCAAAATATCACACAACAGGTTGGGGTCTAGAGAGATGACTCAGTGGTCAAAAACAAGTGTGGCTTTTGAGAGGACCCTACTCTGGCTCCCAGTGCCCACATTAGACAGCTCACAACTGCCTGTAACTCCAGTTCCAGAGGATCTGATGCCCTCTCCCGGCCTCTGAGGGTACTGTACTCACACACACCAACCCACATACAGATACATACACACATATGTAATTAAAATTAAAAAAAAATAATCTTACAGAAGAGGAAAAGCCAAATTTAAATGAAATCAACCGAAGTTGGACTGTCTACCGTCTTTGCTTTCCTAGATGATTATGAGTTCCTTGAATGGGATCTGTTTACCTCATCATTTGCATGGAGCAGTCAGCAGCATTGACATATCCCAGACATCAGCCAGGGCTTCTTTTTCCTGACCCCTGGTTCTTCTTCTTGAACTACAGGCCCAGAAAGCCCCAGCACCACCTCACCGGTGAAGTGGTGTGCTCTGAGTCACTACGAGAGACTCAAGTGTGACGAATGGAGTGTTAACAGCGGAGGGCAAATAGAGTGTGAATCAGCAGAGACCACTGAGGATTGCATTGACAAGATTGTGGTATGTCTCTTCTGCCTCTCTAGGGCAGTGTAAGGCCGAGTCAGCAAGTGTAGCTAGAGTGCTATGGAAACCCCCTTTCTAGAATCCTTGCTTTCCTAGCCTTAGAGTTTGTGGGTCTAAAGGACACCTTCGGGTTCACTTTGCTCTTTCCATTAGCACAGTGGGAGGGTAATCTGAGCCATGTCCTTCTGAGGGAAACTGTACTATAGCAAGAGTGTCACTGGGCTCATGACACGTCCTGATAAGTGTGGAAGGCCTCGGTTTTGATCTTTCAGGCAAGTACACATTCGCCTAATTGATCAAAATTGGCATTCCTTACTTTCCTATGAGAATCTTCAAAATCCTGAGCCTGAGAAAGAAGAAAATAAATACCCCTTGTCATCAATAACTCAGGAAAAATCCTCTTATTGGGATTGTGTCATACAGGTTGCTTAGCACCTCCCACTTCATCATGTCTTGTGAGCTTTTCTTATGTCTTCCAAACCCTGATTTGGTGCTTCTGTCTTAGAGGACACAATGAAGTTTGGCCAGGGTGGGTGCCTGGAGAGGGCAAGGAAGCTCCAAGCTTTCAATCCCCTGCCTCCTTTTCTTTCTATCTTCCTTTTTTTTTTTTTTTTTTTTTTTGAGACAGGGTTTCTCTGTGTAGCTTTGCACTTTTCCTGGAACTCACTCAGTAGCCCAGGCTGGCCTCGAACTCACAGAGATCTGCCTGGCTCTGCCTCCTTATCTTGCTCCACAGAGCTCTCTACCACCCAATTGGTCTATTCTTTGAGTTGAACATTTGGTTGTCACTATAGTTACTGCTGTAGTTGCTGGCGGTAGAATTCTGAGACAGGGTCTCATGGAGCTGAAGTTGGTCAGTTGTTGGCTGAGGCTGAGAATGACCTGCTACAGCCACCATTCTGCTTCTACCTCTGGAGTGTTGGGAGTATGTGCCTCTACGCCAGTACCTAGGCTTAGGGGTTGCTCAAGACAGAACCCTGGGCCTCCAGTATGCTAGGCTGGCACTCTACCAACTGAGCTGTAGTTGCAGTTGGATATTGGATAGTGAACCAGTAAATATACGGAAACAAAGTAATATCTATTGACAACACTGGGATTTCTTGCCACTGTCAACTGATCCTTCTGGAGTTTCCTAGCTCTGCTTTTGAGCTCTTAAAAATAGCCATATGCTTTCTAAGCTATCCATCACAAAGCAAAGCAGACCACCAACTCTGCTCTTCTGCCTACGTTTTAAAATATTACATTATTTTAGCTCCATTCCATTTTATTGTTTTGTCTGAATCAAGGCAAGAAAAAAACCAAACCAAATTCATGCAAAGCATGCTAACTCAAACCTGAGTCTATAGAGTATAAAGGTATACTAACATCTAGGTGAGTCTGACTGATCCTTTGGGGGTCCAGTACCAAGATCTACTGTTGCCCTGGCTTTACAACTTGTGCTGAGAAGGACTTTCAAGGAGACAGCCTAGAAGGGCAGGTGACACAGGAAACAGCAACTCTTCATTTGCTGTGACTTGCTGTATTTGCAGAATGGAGAAGCTGATGCCATGACCATGGATGGAGGCTATGCCTACATAGCAGGCCAGTGTGGTCTGGTGCCCGTCCTGGCAGAGAGCTACGGTGAGTGATGCAGAGTGCCTGCCTCTGTGCTTTCTTTGTTCTGGGTCGTGGGGAGAGGAGAATCACAGTCCAGTTTATCTCACAGCCACTATAAAGTGCCCCCCTCCTGAGCTCCTACCCAGACTCTGGGACTCCCTCACCTAGAATCTCCAGTTGCCTTAAAGGATGAGAATGGTGGTACCCTCAGTCCTTGCTATGAGATTTCTGGTATAAAAGGGATCCCACTGCAGAGGCCATATGGGGTGTCTGAAAAGTCTTGCAAATGTCCAACACTCTTGCTTTGCCTGCTACCTTGTTGTGGGTCAAATACATTCAGTTAATTAACATCACATTGCAGGCTTGGTGCATAGCGAGTGAGACACTTGAAATGCAGTTTGTGAATGAATCTGAGAGGTCAGCAGCCAGGGGATCTCGCAGCCTTATTGACAACCAGTGATGTGTGCAGTTTTAGCCACTCTTTTTATATTTTAGTAGCTTCATGAGGAAGGCATGATTTTCCAACCTAGACATAAATGTTTAATGGTTTATTTTCTTTCCTCCAGAGAGCACTGATTGTAAATATCGCCCAGAAGAAGGTGAGTTGAAACTGGTAATCCTGGCCATTGGAAGGTAAATTCTCATTGTTGGGAAAAGTGGTTAGGTGAGTTTATAAGTCAATGGAGAGATCCTATTTTAGAATGCAAAGTGTTGTGAGAGGGTAGTAATCAATCAGTATGGCTGTGTTCCTACTCTTGTTATGACTTAGACATTGGACTTCTCCTTTCCTCTTATAATGTAGGTATTGTCTTCTATTAGGACTCATGAGAGGATCCAGGGATTCAGAATTTACGAATGGTTTAGGATCCTAGAAACCCATCTAGGCTCTTCCCATTGCTTCCCACCATTTTTAATTACATAAAGTCTTTAGAGTTTTAATGAGATTTAGCACTGGCCAAAGAACCTTACTTATGTGGTCCTTGCAGGACTGAGTAGAGAGCTTCAAAATACTGATGTCTAGGAGTGTGGCATTTTCTGATCATCCAACTAGACAGGGCTCAGGAACCAGATTAACCTGTATCTCACTGGGGCTTTGATTAGGGATAGATCTGAAATGATGGCACAAGAGCAAGCAGGAAGTTAGACACTAAAGTGACATCAAGCCCCAGTGCTCAGTTTCCACAGAACCATGGGTGTACAACTCTGGCCTTGCCCCTGCATCTGAACACAACCTTCCAATTCTTAGCATATCTGGAAAGTCATTATTATTATTATTATTATTATTATTATTATTATTATTATTATTATTATTTTCAAGACAGGGTTTCTCTGTGTAGTTTTGGTGCCTGTCCTTGATCTCACTCTGTAGACCAGGATGGCCTCGAACTCACAGCGATCTGCCTGGCTCTGCCTCCTGAGTTCTGGGATTAAAGGCATGCATCACCACCACCCGGTGAAAGAGTCGTTATTATTCAATGGATAATAAGGATTGTTTCCTGTTGGAGAGAATATTGTGAATTAATTAAAAAAGAAAATAGAATCGTAGGTTGGTGTTCTAGTCCCTATTAGAGAGCATGTTTGTGCTGCCAAAAACGACAACTGACTTGGTCTTGGTGTTTCCATTTTGCATGTTTACTCTGGTATAAAACCATATTCTCCTTATGAGAAGCTGTCTGGTCTGATTAACCCCAGTACATGTTCATTATAAACTGTCAGAGTTACATTAGCTTTTTGGTATCCATTTCTTGGATTTAATACTTTGGAAAGTGAGTTGCTGGTTTTTTTTGTTTTTGTTTTTAACTCCAATAACCTTAACCTTATGCAAACAGGTAAGGATTATATGTCAGCCATTTCTCTAATGATAAGGTGTTAATACTTTTTCTATTTATTTTCACATTTTATGGGTGCACGTGTGTGTGTGTGGGCACATGCGCATGTTTGTGACATGACATTATAGAGGTCAGAAGTCAACCTCAAGTGGCATTTCTCAGGAGTCGTCCAGTTTGTCTTATGAGACAGGGTCTTTCATTGGCCTGGAGTCCCATTAGTAAGTTAAGCTGGCTGTCATTGAGCTCCAGGAGTCTGTCTGTCTCAGACATTATAAGCACATAACACACACACACATACACACACACACACACACACACACACACACACACACACACACACACACCATGCCTGGCTTTTTTACATGGGTTCTGGGTCAGAACTCCAGTCTTCATGCTTACATGGCAAGTACTTTACCAACTGAGCCGTCTCCCCAGCCCATTATTTTTTTTATTTTAAAATTGATATATAAAAACATTTAAAAACTGTACATAATCATGGGGCACCGTGTGATCTTAGCGCTTTGCTTTTGAAATTCTTCCTGCTAGACTGTTCCGTGATTCACTAGAGTCAGCTCTTGTGGAGTTCCTTTCGTGACACAATGTGCTATTTAGGACATCTTTGCTGTTTCATGAAGACAGTGGTGTCTGTTGGAAGCAGATGCTCTGGGAGGCCCCAGTGATATTAATAGTTGTTTGGGGGGCATCTTTCCCATAGGGTATTATGCTGTGGCAGTGGTGAAGAAATCCAACCGTGACATCACCTGGAATAATCTGAAAGGCAAGAAGTCCTGCCATACTGCAGTAGACAGAACTGCTGGCTGGAACATCCCCATGGGCCTGCTGTACGAGAGGACCCAAAGCTGCAAGTTTGGTGAGCAGAGCTGGGGAAGGAACTTGGCACATAGAGAAGAGGGGTCCTGAGGAAGGCTGTGGGATCCAGGTCCATTAAAGTGAAATTTCATAAAAGTGAACCTCAAGGAAATAGCAAAAAGGACTAGAAAGGCTGAAGAGCTGAGGAATGGAGCCAGGGTGTTTTGTCACAGGTGCACATAATGGCTTCAGGGGGTAGACATTTACTTTTCTCTCCCACGAAGACAACCAGATGTGAGCATTCCATGGCTGATAAGGTCTTGAAGACTTCTTCCTTCTTTCTGCTCCACAATTCCCAACATAGCACTTCCATGTTCAAAGCTATCTTACGGTTGCCAAGGCCTTCATGATCTAGGCAAGAAGGAGAGCAAAAGGAAATTTACACCAACTGTGATCAGTGTTTGAAAGGAGCCTTCTGGACGTCCGAGCAATTATTTTTGATATAACTTCCTATTATGAGGATCTTAGGTGTGTCATCATGCATCTACCTACACATACCTACCACATATCAAACTAGATTTTTGTTACCAAGGAACAAAGCAAAATGGACATTGGGTAGATAGTAAGTGATCCCTGCCATGGGGGTTCTATGATATGATTTGTGTGTGGGGGTTCCTTGGTTTCATAAGGTGTTGGTCATCTCATTGAATTCCTGCTTAGCTCCCAGGATTCTTCCTTTTACTATGTGTCCTCTGAATATCCTGAGTGGAGTTTGTTTCTACCTCCTTAAGTTTCTGAGTAGACGATCCCAACAGACAGATGTTGACAATGGCTTTGCTTTATTTTGGCTTCCTGGGTTCTTCTTTCCTGATGCTTCCAAATTTGGGCAACTCCTTAACAAAATGAGAGAACTATAAACCTGACTGTAAACCCTACATCCCTAGCATAGGGACTGGAAATGAGGACACATCTCTGAACTAAGATGCTCTGGTACCTCAGAAACAAAGTACACTTGGAGCCACGGGCAGAAAGCACAGGCTCCTGACCTCTGACCTCTGACCCCTAGGCCCCCTGGACCTCCTGGACTTTCACAGCCATGAAAGCAGCCAAAATGCAGGGAACATTCCCTATTCTTCCCTTAAGCTTTGAAATGAAAGGGGAAACTCAAACAAACACCAACAGAAGCAGTGGTACAATCTTAGAGATTCCATTTCTTCATTCTTCAGGCTGGAGATGCTGCTGCCCAAGGATCCCCTCGACCCTGAAGTGGGTAGCTCACAAATACCTTCCCCCACCTTGACAGGCTTCCTTCAAAGGCCTACAGTCTGGAGATTCTGGGTTGGTGGGTGGCAGGTTGCAGAGTGAATCATTTAATACCCTGTCAGGCGTTAAGTAAACCACTCGAAATCACACACACACACACACACACACACACACACACACACACACACACACACGCAAACAAAAACAAAACCAAAACCCTGACTTTCTCTTGTTCTTTGGTCCAGATGAATATTTCAGTCAAGGCTGTGCTCCTGGGTATGAGAAGAATTCCACTCTCTGTGACCTGTGTATGGGCCCAAGCAAATGTGCCCAGAACAACAAAGAGGGCTATTATGACTACACAGGGGCTTTCAGGTGAGTTTTCCAACCCTAACGTATATAATGATGCCCTAGTTTTGACCAGATTCCTTTTAGGAACAGAGGTGAAGTCTTATGTTATTAGTCTGTTAAGTGCTGTACATATTAGGATGAGAGATTTTCCCACCAAATGTAGAGATGGCATGTGAAGGAGCATCTCAGTCCCCACAGAGCTCTGCCTGCCTGAGCCAGCCATCAGACAATGAGGCTGACTGGTGATGCTGCTTAGCAGTTCTCAACTGGGGCAATTTGCCTCCTAGAGAACACTGGTAATGTCTAGAGATGCTTCTGATTGTGGTGATGTTGGCAGGGGGTGCCTCCAGCATCGAAGAGGCAGAAGTAGATAAATGCCTGCAATGCATAAGTCAGCACTAATTAACAAAGTCCCAAATGTCACTAGTGCCAAAGCAATGTTACCTTCTCATAACTGACAGAAGACTGAGTCAGGGGTTTGACTCAAGCTTTTCCATGCTAACCAAGAACCATACTCATCTTGAGGTAGAGAATACTGAAGAACATGACTTCTAAATTCCTCTTTACAATAATATTTTATAGAATATCTATCATTTTTTAAACTTGAAAAATTAAAATTTTAATTACTGTGGTGATATATTGTGTACCCCAATACCCCCGGGCAGGACCAGAGAAATGTACCACTACAAATTACATGTATGAGTGTGTGCTGTGTGCAGGATGCCTGTGGGGGCCAGAAGAAGGCGTCAGATCCCACAGAGCTAGAGTTATAAGCAGTTGTGAGCTTTCTGATGTGGGTGCTGAGAACAGAGCTCAGGTCTTCTGTAAGAGCCGCTGAACTGCCCAGCCACCTCTCCAGCTCCATGTCTGCCATTTTTGTAGGACATCTGTGCACCTTGTTAGGGTATGATGGTTTAGCGAATCTTTTGCCTTAGACCTTCTGTTACGTGATAGCTCAGGAATCCATGGTTGATGCTATTACAATTGAACCTCTCAGTAACAAAAGGAAAAGCAAAGGACATCTCAACATGCCATTAAGAACCAAACTCGGGAGAGAAAGTATGAACCACACCACACACACTTCTGATCATACAAAAGAGAACATGTGGGATGTAGGGTCTTAGGATTTGGAAGATATAAAATGCACCACCCCCTTTGACCTTTTCCTTAACCTTTTTGCTGGTGGTAACATGTTTGAGAACTACAGGTCAAGGAAAAAGGATCCCACTTTGCTTGTAGAAACATATTTAAAGGGCTTCATTTTCCAAAATGTTTTATAAAACTCAGATATGACATGCAACCATCCAACTGACAGACTCTTAGCTTAAAAGAAAATGCAGCACAGTCAGTTCAGGGCACAATAGACTGTCACTTTTTCAGTGACTAGCCACAGCAATTTTAGAGAACTGCAGGAAGAGGCAGGTGATTTCCCTTGAAGCAAGAGGGGGAAAGGAGTGGGCCCACTGTTCAAGAGTCGGATTGACCTGGGTCAGTGAGTAGGTACTGCAGCATACACTGGTACAGCACCTGCATGTGTCCACTTTCCAAGGACTTCGGGAAAATGATGGAACCGTACACAACAGAGTTAATGTTGCTGGTATTTCTTTCTTGGAACTTCTGGGACGTGTCTAGTGGTTCAGAACTCTGTTCTCCATCCAAAATACTCTTCCCAGATGTATATGGGGCTTGCTAGAGTCAAGGGCATATGTGTCAGGCTTTGCTATATTTTCTGTGTTTCTCAAAAGAAAAAAAGAGAACAGGAGAGAGGGATGGAGAGAAGAAGAGGAGAGATAAAGAAATGAAGGAGAAAAGGAAAACAAAACAACTCAAAAGAGAAACCCCTGCACGCTCCCTGAAAGTTAAAATTATTTTTTAAAATGGACTAAGGATACCACAAATTGAAATTTGCAATTGAGTTGCAGTCTCTCAAAAATGTGGCACAGGCATTTGGAGCTTCAAAAATATGAAGGGGTGGAATTTCTCATCCACATTTCAGATAAATGGGGAATTATGGGAATCAGAAAACAGATTCCCCGTCCCCCATGTTCATGTTGGGGAAAGGATATAATCTACTGAGGAGCTGTGCTAAAAATTATGATGTAGAGGGTGGGAGACAGCTGTGTCAGGAAATGCCTGCCACACATACATGAGGACCTAAGTTTGGATGCCTAAAAGCCACATAAAAGCCAGGCACGAATGTGTGTGTCTTTAACCTCAGCACTTGTGGGTGAGGGATGGAGAAAGGACAGGTGGATCCCTGGAGCTCGCTAGCCAGCCAATTTAGCCAAACTGAGGAGCTCCAGGTTCAGTAAGGGACCATGTCTCAAAAAGATGGAGAGTGATCAAGGAAGATATCCAATGTTGACCTCTACCTTCTGCGTGTGTGTACGCATGTGCACACACCCACACCCACCCACATGAATGTGCATATGTGCCCTTCCCCCCATATACAAAGAATAAAGAAAGAAATTATGTAGTATGTGGAGCTGAGCTTGTGGAACTGTATAGCAACGTGGAGCCTTTTGTTTTCCTTATTCTGCATGGTGCTTAGTGATAGAATGGTCCTAACACTTGCTGATGTCAGGTGGCACCTCTGAATGGCGTGTGTCAATCTGACATCCTATCTTCTCTCCTCTCCATATCTGGACCTCTTTAGGTGTCTCGTGGAGAAGGGAGATGTAGCCTTTGTGAAACACCAGACTGTCATGCAAAACACTGACGGTATGTGTGCACTCTCTTCTGTTCCCTTACAGAATCTGGATCACTGGGATTTGCTGGGGTTCTTTCTTGCCACCAGAGGGTTATCCTGTTCTTGGTTCCTTGTGTCACCGTAGATTTCTTTTGTGCTTTTAAACTAAGTCTCTGATTTCTAGGCCTTGACTCTGCACTTTTCATAATGATCCCATAGTCTATGGCCTTCTGGCTACAGTTTATATAGGAGACCTAGCCTTCCATCTCCTTCAGCCCCTCTGATTGCCACGCTGCTATTTTCACGTAGAGAACTCTGGCATTGTAAACTCCATTGGCACAAATGCAAATCCTTCATAGTTCTCGTCTCATAGCTTCTGACCCTAAACAGAGAACATTGTTGTAATTCCCTGCCAGTCTCTCCCCTTGTCTCTCCATAGAACCACAGCAGTACTTGGGAATTAACCCAAGGCCTTGTTCAAGCTTAAGCAAGTCTTTACCACTTAGGGTGGCGGAAGCAAGTTTGCTATATTAAAATTAAGTTGAATTAACTGTTTCACACCTATATGAGCACACTCACATGCAATAGAATTCATGACTACTGTAGTGACCAAAAAATTATAAACATTCCAAATACCTATAAAAGGAGGGATGGTTTAAAAACACTATTCTATGCCACAGAAGGTCCAATTGCCTAAAAGAATGACCTCAATTTACATAATGGTACAGAAAAAGCTGTAAGGTATATACATGTAGAATGAATCTTACACTATCACCACATATACGTAGCTGAGAAAGAGCTACAGGAGTTTATATATGCTAAGATCTAATGCTAAGAAAAACTGTAAGCTTGTAACATCATGGAGAGCCATATATAGGTAAAGAAATATAAGAGGCACAGATGGAGCCAGGCAGTGGTGTAGTGGTGGCACACGCCTTTAACCCCAGCACTCGGGAGGCAGAGGCAGGTGGATCTCTGTGAGTTCGAGGCCAGCCTGGTCTACAGAGTGAGTTCCAGGACAGCCAAGGCTACAACAGAGAAACCTTGTCTTGAAAAACAAAACAAAACAACAACAACAAAAAGTCATGATGGAAACACAAATTGTGCTTTCAAGGATTGGAGCCATAGGAACCAGTGGGCTTTGGGGAGTGCAGAAGTGAGGATTTTTAGTTTATAAGTAGACGCATTTTAAAGTATGATAACTGGGGTTGGGGATTTAGCTCAGTGCAGAGCGCTTGCCTAGCAAGCACAAGGCCCTGGGTTCAGTCCTGAGCTCTGGAGGGGGGGGGGGGGGAGACACCTAAGGAGATAAGCACTTGAATAAATCTAAGTCATACTGTTGATGTTTAAAAATATGATAACCTTGGTCTCACATAGCATTTATTCAATTACGGAAAGAGTGTTCTGTGAACAATGAATGAAAGAGAAAGGTCGTAATCCTGCTTTATGGGAGAGAAATGAAAACTGGCAAAATAAAATGTTAAGAGGAACCATGGAAAGCCTCAGGTCGGGCAAAGGTTTTTAAACTGACTGAATAAGTAATTAATTATTGCAAAGAGAATACAGAGAAGATTAGGCAAGCAGCTGAGACAGGACGTTTTTCCCTGGGACTAGCAGGAAGTCGAACTCAAAGTGTTGTTGCTGATTTAAAAGCACCCTCTGGAGCAGTTCTTTTGTTTGGAGATGTGATGTGTGCAGAGATGGAGAAACTGGCTTAGAGCCTCACGTTCTTTCCATGCTGGAGCCAGAAGTACAAAGGCTTTGGAATTTTGTTATTGTCTGAGACAGGCCTCACTATGTAGACTAGGCTGGCCCTAGACTCCCAGAGATCCATTTGTCTCTGCCTCCCAAAAGCTGAGACTTAAGGTGTGCACCACGATGCCTGGCCTTTTAAAAAATGCTTTGTTGTTCTTTCGCTTTGGAATTTAATAGAAATGAAGATCTTTTTTTTAAAACAATACCCATAGAACATGGATTCTTTTTGTTTGGCTGAGAGGGAAGATCAGTAAGGAGCGGTCACTGGTAATCTCTTGTGACTTGAGTACCACCTGGAACCCGCATGAGTGTCCCTTCCTCCCAGCACTGCCACAACCCTGCACATGTGCTTCTGCTGGCCAGAAGGCACAGACTCTCCAGTGGGTCAGTGCCCCTCCCCCCACCCAGTAACTAAAATGATCAGATTGGCTGATCCACCCTTTTTTTCTACCCAGGGAAGAACACTGAAGCATGGGCTAAGAATCTGAAGCAGGGCGACTTCGAGCTGCTGTGCCTTGACGGCACCAGGAAGCCCGTGAATGAGTTTGCCAGCTGCCACCTGGCCCGAGCTCCAAACCACGTTGTGGTCGCACGGAAAGAGAAGGCAGCCCGTGTTAGCACAGTGCTACTTAACCAGCAGGTATGGACTGTCCGGGGCCTCCCACCTCCTAGTCCGGGGCAGGTTGTTTGGGGTTCAGAGCTAAGCAAAGCTTCGGGGTGGACATTCACTTTCTGAATCACAGATCGTGGATCAGAATATCCAAGTTCAAATCTCAGCTCGGCAGCTTCCTATCCATGTCACCTTAGATGTATACGGCTGAACATTTCCATTCTCCATTTCCTCACATATTAAGAGGAAATGATAATATGGACACCTGTTTCTCAGTTAATAAAAAAAAAAAAAGTGAAGTAATGCACACAAAAGGGTTAGGAAATGTGTGTCTAATGGAGAGGCTCACAGCGTGTTAGCTGGGACTGGATCCCTCCGACCTGGCTCTGCGTCTGTGGAACTCCTAGTCACTAGAGACAAGTTCCCACCTGACCCACAGAGCCCTCAGGACCTGGAAACTGCCTTCCAGCCCCTTTTGACCTTGACTCAGGGATTCCTTTATTTTCCTCAAGAATGTTTTTCTGAAGATGAAGATGACAGGTCCTGCTTCCTAATGTTCTTGCATACAAGTCTTGAGGACCAGAAGTGATTTCTATTTCTCATGCTTAGATCAACTTACCATGTTCTTAACAATCTGGAAAATAGAAGACTCTCACCCTCAGAACAACCCTGTCAGGGCCAGCCTCAGGGGTAGGGGAGTGAGGGGTGGGCGGTGGGGGGAGGAAGGGGAACATTTACCGGACTGCTTGAATACTTCAGTCTCTGGGGCTCCTCTACACACAAACATCGCCCTCCCTTCTGGTATAGCTTCCTGCCTGTTAATTTGTCCTTAGTTTTAAAAGAAAAGAAAACAAAATAGGATAGCATGTCTTCAAAAGCCCCTTTAAAAGCACATGGTGATAATATCAAGTGATGTTTCTAGTTTGATATAAGATTTGGGTCAAATAATCTTACAACAGCTAACAGAGTTTCATATCAGTGTTACTGCTGTTTGCTTTTTGATTCACTGTGAAATTCATTAACCTTTTCACGGTGTTTTAAACCTCTGCTTCTTGTGTAGATTTTTTAAAAATGCTGTGTCAATTATAAAAGAGTTTAAAATGAAAAAGAGAGCACATGATGATGATAATGATCATTTAAGGATATTCCTCATGTATGACAGGAATGCTAGACTAACTTCTTAGCATCATTATTTACAACCTTGAGAGGCTGGGAGAAGCTACGTGGCTGGTCCAAGACAAATTTACAATTTATCTAGAATGAACTTCTAGTGGTTTCTTTTTACTATTCCTGAGAGAGCTCATATCTGATGTCTTTTGGGCAACAATACTGGAAGGGGCATGTTATTTCTTCTCACTTCCTATAAGTACCTCCAAGGCAGTCAAGTCATGAAATGGAAAAGAGATGGGAGCGGGTAGTTGAGAGGGGTGGGAAGTCTCAGAGGACAGTAAGACAGAGGGTGTCACAGAGGACTCTGGAGGTATTGTGGAAACACATGGTTCAGGTTCAGGCGGGTAAATGGCAGATGAGGGAGGTGGAAAGTTCCCAAGGCATATTCTGTAGCTTTCTTTTGTTCCCAGGACTGGCTTGGAGCTTCCAGCCTCCTGCAGTGCAGGTGTTTCCCACTGCTCAGGGATGTATGTTCACATGTATTTTTTGTTCATTTGACAGACTTTATTTGGACACAGTGTAACTGACTGCACTAAGAATTTCTGTTTGTTCTCATCGAACACCAAGAACCTTCTGTTCAGAGATGACACCAAATGTTTGGTTAAACTTCCAGATGGCATCACATATAAAGAATACTTAGGATCAGACTATGTCCAAGCTGTTGGTAACATGAGAAAATGCTCAACCTCACGTGAGTAGAATGAGCAGGGTGGACAAGTTGCAAAGAAAACCCAGTGATGGGTTCCGGAATGGCAGTTATAATAGAGAAGTCAAGCATGGCCCTTAGGAAATAGCCATATGGGCCAGATAAAACCTGTCACAGACAACAGGGTGGGTTATATGCACATGTAGTAAGGGGACCAACCACAGATCCAGGATACTAGGAGAGTGAACTTATTATGTGTACATAATCTCATCTTATTTCTAAGAAGATTAAGAAAAGCTGGGGGGGGGGGGACCAAACTTATTAGAGGTCCTTGTCAAATATGGCAACCACTAGCAAGATGTGACTACTTAAATTTAAATTACAGCTGAATTAAATCAAGATATCATTTCCTCAATCCCATCCAGCTACAATTTTAGTGAAAAGTAGCCGTAGCAAAAAGAGAATATTGCAGAACATCTTAGACAGCTCTGATCTGCAGAATGTCAATAATGATGTGTTCCAAGCTCATCTGGAATGTCAGAGTCCAGGAACTGAAGCAGAATAAAATATAGTTTTTCAGTCTGTTTTGGGATTAGTTGAATCACTTGAAAGCATTTGGAAAATGTGAGGGAATCCATGTGGTGTAAGGTGATTAGTCTTCAGTTGTAGCCTGTAGGTGAGTCTTGGTCCTGATTTAAGCTGCTGTCCGAGAGATACAGCTTGAGTGAGTCTGTGCTGGTTCAGGGCGATAGCACTTTCAAGGTTTCCACATGTGGGTTGGCAAAATAGTTCAGCGGGTAAAAGAGCTTGTAGCATCAAGCTTGTAGCTTGATGACCTGAGTTTGATCCCCAGATCTGACAGTAGAAGGAAAATATATATATATATATATATGTATATATGTATATATATATATATATATATATGTATATATACACACACAGACAAGTTGCCACATGCAATTCTAGTGTAAGCAATGTGCTTGCTTAGGTCCATTGTTAGAAAATCCAAGTCACTCTTTCCTTGACCTTTATGCCACCCAAGATGACAGTCTAGCGTTGCTGTTCTCCATCCTATCCCTAGACTCAGCTCAGAAGTTGTTGGGGACTACCAGCTACCATCTGCCTAAAAATCTCAGGGAAGAGTCTTTCTGGACAACTTCTAGCTATATGAATTCAGGTGCAGAGCCTCACCCATTAAAAACGAGGTAGAAGATGCCACGGAGAAGGAAAGTCATGTTACAGCATCTACATCCTTGGTGTGGGGTCCTCCCTGTGATAGGCACAGGAGCCATGTAGGCAAGTAGAGATGAGCATTGGAAGAATGGGCCACAACACGCATCAAAACAGCAGAACAATGATCTTTAGCACCTTTATGTTACACTGAGCTGTCCATTCACTAAACAGTTCATAAATACGAGTGTTCTGAATGCCCTCCATCTCTCTTCTCTCTCCAGGACTCCTAGAAGCCTGCACTTTCCACAAAAGTTAAAAATCCAAGAGGAGGGCTGCCACTGTGATGGAGATGGGTGATCCATGGGCTTCCCTTGGTCTCCATGGCCTGAGGGGTTCAGGAAAACTGTGTCTATCTTCACATAGAGCACAAAATAAAAATGACTATTGACTTTATATTTTCCAAGCTCCGTTCTTTTCTAAATGTTTTCACCAGGATTTCTTTATACAATCTGACTATGTTTGCAACTGAACCTTGTCTTCTGAGCTCAAGATTCAGGTAGTCGGGGCTGGAGAGATGGCTCAGGAGTTAAGAGCATTGTATGCTCTTCCAGAGGACCCAGGTTCAATTCCCAGCACCCATATGGGGGCTCACAACTGTTTGTAACTCCAGTTCCAGAAGCTCTGATGCCCCCTTCTGCTCCACGGGATCCTGAATGCTTGTGGGGCACGAAAGCTAACACAACCACATACCTATAAAAATAAAAGATAAGAAAGTAATTAAAAAAATAAAAAAATATATTTTTTAAAAAGTAAAAAGGTTCAGATAGTCTTTTCCACAACTCTGTGTGGGGTCCACAGACACAGCTCCAGGGTCCAGTCCAAGAGACCCTTTGAAAGGGTCTCCTAGGTCTTCCTAATAGAATCAAATCTATATGGCCACAGCTTTTGCTAAAAATCTTCTTTTGAGCCTGAGAACATACTGATTTCTGTCATCAGTCAGTGGGCTGGGGGTCCTTTTACATCACTCAACTAGACATCATGGGCAGGCAAGCTGCGAAAAGTTCTTCAAGTGCTGGTCATTGGGAGCTTTGGTATATAGGGTGTTCCACAGTGGGGGGGGGGGGGGGGGATGCTGCAGGAGGTGGGCAGGCAGGCCAGATGGCGCCCTCTAGTGTTACAGGTCTCCTTTAGGACACAGGTGGTAAAAGTTTAGCTGTCACTGAGCAGAGCTAAGTCATTAAGGGCCTGTGTAGTCATTAAGGGCCGGTGTAGGTGCTGCTAATTAGGAGGTCAAAATGTTCCACGACCCAAGGTGAACGTCAAAAGGAGTGCTTCAAATAAGAATGGCCCAAGAGCTCAACATTAACACTGACAGTGATTTTTAGCAGATTTTAACGGTCTTCCCAGTGCCTAGGGAGAGTTGGGGTCCTGCTGCTGTTTCATTTCTACCCTATCTCCTCCCCTTTCCAGTCCACTTTCCTGTAAGGTACAGCTCACTCTCTCCCCCTCTGCCCCCCGCCGCCGCCGCCGCCGCCGCCGCCGCCATGTATTAGTAATAAGTAGTTGGCTGAAGAGACTAGTCATCAGCTCTACCCGCTTCCCCCCACCCCCCCGGACGTAAATCACTGCCACCTGCCAACTCTTAAACCACCTTCCTTACTTATTCTTAAGTAAGCATGTTTCCTGCACTTCTTGAAGATGTCTATCCTCCCTTTCTTTCTTTCTTTTTGGTTTTTTGAGACAGGGTTTCTCTGTGTGACAGCTCTAGCTTTCCTGAAATTTGCTTTGTGGACCAGGCTGGTCTCGAACTCACAGAGGTCCACCTGTCTCTGCCTCCCGAGTGCTGGGATTAAAGGTGTGCGCCACCACTGCCCGCTACCCTCCCTTTTATGGGATGTTTTTCCCTCTCTGATATGGCTGCCCTCTTTGATTCCTCTCTCTCTCTCTGTTCACTCATGGTCTGAACTGTGACCTTATTCAACTAGTCTGGATATCTTAAGACTTCTTCTTGACCCAATGTTCCCCATTCTTTTCAGATTCCCTTCTAGCAATGGGAATGACCTCTGGGCATCCATAGTCATAGTAGTGACCCAAGTCTCCAGCATTCTCCTTCTATGCCTCCTTCCACCTGTGGATCTGTTATATAGAATCTTACAGTAAACAGAAACCCAACATATCAAAGACTGGGGCTGGGGGTGTAGTTCAATGATAGCTTACTTGCTCCGAGTTTGATCCCCAGTGTCACAAACTAAAAAAAACTAATAAGCAAACAAACAAAACCTGAGGGAATCATCCTACTCTTCTACGCTGTGATAAAACACTGTGACCAAGGCAACTTATAAGAGAAAGCGTTTAATTTGGCTTATGGTTTCAGAGGGTGAGGGTCCAAGTTGGCAGAGCAAAGGCATGATTCGAGAACATCTGAGAACTCACATCTACATCCACAATCATGAGGCAGAGAAAGAGAGAGAGAGAGAGAGCACACACTGGTAATAGCACAAGTCTTTTGAAACCTCAAAGGCTGCCCCCAGTGACACACCTTCTCCAACAAGTCAACACTTTCTAATCCTTCCCAAACAGTTCAACCAACTAGGGACCAAGTATTCAAACCTATGAGCCTATGGGGGCCATTCTCATTCAGACCACCACACTGAGGAGAGAGAGAGAGATCATTTGGGGGCTAGAGAGATGACTTGGTCATTCCCACTCTTATTGGTTAATAAAGAGCTGACTGGCCTGTTAGCTCGGCAGGAGAGCCAGACTGGGAGGATGCTGGGAATAAGAAGGGCAGAGTCTTGGAAGTTACCAGCCAGATACAGAGGATGCAGGATGTGTACAAAATGAGGTAACAAGCCATGAAACATAGTAGAACTTAGATAAGAAATATGGGTCAATTTAAGTTGTTATAGCTAGTTAGTAACAAGTCAAAGCTATTGGCCTAGCATTCAAATTAATTTTAAGTTTCTATGTGGTTATTTGGGAGCTGGCCAGCGATCCTGATGAAAAACTCCACCTACACACCTCCTCCAACAAGGCCACACCTACTAATCCTTTACAAACAGTTTCACCAACTGGGGACCAAGCATTCAAATATATAAGCCTATGGGGCCATTCTCAATCAAACCACCACACAGCCTAACCTATATAGTAAATTCTACACTCACCAACCTCTGCTCCACCAATCTCCACCAAGTGTGAGATCTTATATCATCCTCACTTTAAAAATAAAAATCATTGTTCAAACATTATCAGATGAAAATTTGTTGGGGTTAGATGGTAGAAAGGTGTGTTTGTGTATGCCCGTGTGTGTGTATGTGTGTGTGTGTGTGTGTGTGTGTGTGTATTTTTTTTTTTTTTTTTTTGGTTTTTCGAGACAGGGTTTCTCTGTGTAGCTTTGCGCCTCTCCTGGAACTCACTTGGTAGCCCAGGCTGGCCTCGAACTCACAGAGATCCGCCTGGCTCTGCCTCCCGAGTGCTGGGATTAAAGGCGTGCGCCACCACCGCCCGGCGAGTGTGTGTATTTTTAAAAACAGGTTCTCATGTTATCCAGGCCAGCCTCAAACTTGATATGCAGCTAATGATGTCCTTGAACTGCTGAGCTTTCTGCCTCCACCTCCCAAGTGCTAGGATTATAGGTGCTCACCACACCTGGCTCAGTTGTTCTTTTAGTTTCTTAGGAAACCTTCATGCTATGTCATGTAGTGGCTATACCATGCTGTTCCCGCCAACAGTGTCTCAGGTTCCCCTTTCTCCACACTCTCACCACTGTTTGATATGTTCTGACTTTTTTTTTTTTTTTTTTTTTTTTGGTTTTTCGAGACAGGGTTTCTCTGTGTAGCTTTGCGCCTTTCCTGGAACTCACTTGGTAGGATATGTTCTGACTTTTTAATAGTAGCTATCTTCAGTGGTTTTGATTTTCATTTCTCTAATGGCTAGAGATGTTCAGCCCATTTCATATTCCTATTGATAACTTGCCACATGTGGAAAATGTCTCTTCAAGTCATTTTAACATATTTATTTTTATTTGTGTGTGTGTGTGTGTGTGTGTAGTTAGGACCATAAAAAGAAAAGAAACAGGGCTGGAGAGATGGCTCAGAGGTTAAGAGCACTGACTGCTCTTCCAGAGGTCCTGAGTTCAATTCCCAGCACCCACATGGTGGCTCACAACCATCTGTAATGAGACCTGGCAGCCTCTTCTGTGTGCATAATAAATAAATCTTTAAAAAAAAAAAAAAAAAAAAAAGAAAAGAAACAGAATGTGTCATGATTACTGATAGTCCTGGTACTTCACCTGATAATAATAATTTATAACCTGTCTCTTTAAAGCTGACATCCTCAACACTTCTCTTGGACCTGAAGCCCTTTATCAAATGAATCCTACCACATTATGGCAAGTGGTTAAGCATATAGAAGCCTAACTGGCTGCAATTAAACCCCAGCTCGGCCTCTGCCTATGTACTCATGGGGAATTCTGCAAACCCTTCCTCGATTTCCCCTCTGTAAAGGTTGGAATGATGAGTCATTGTGAGAACTGAACAAAGGAATACATTAAAAGTACTTCGAAGTAACACCAGAAAGTGCTCGTCCCTGTTAGACAGAAGCCCCATTATCATTATCATTGTTTCCTGGCTTACCATAGTCTTTCATACTTACAATTCCCCACACTTCTGGAGCCCCTGAGCTCACATGCATCCAGAGCCTTATCGTGGGGGCTGCTCTGCTACAAAAGATCCTGTTGACAACTGCCAGATGTGCTTGTTTTATTTCTTTGTCACTGACTCACGAACTCCCAAAGAAGCCCAGTTGATTCCTGACTCCAGATGAAAACCAAGTACATATTTGGGGCACTTTATATCTCTTCTTTCTACCACCTGCTTGACAGTGGCCTTCAGGTTTCTCAGAAACACCTGAAACATGACATACACAGTCAGTTTTTATTCTAACTTCCTTTTCTCATTGGGTCCACTCTCCCTTATTGAAGTCCTTAATTCACCAAAGGACACATTCTTCTTTCCAGTCGCCCAACATTAATGTTCCAGGGAAAAGGCTTGATTATTTTCCTGTACTTAAGTCATTATCTTCACCTATATATTTTATAGTCATTACAACTTGTATCTTTTAACTTCTAAATATTCCTGAAATTTGTGTCCTCCATTCCACACTTTTATCCTGTGTTAGACTCTGGATATCTTTTGCCTAAATACAGCAAGAGACTCCCATCGGTTGCCCAGCCTCAGTTCTCTGTAGATCTGTCACTTATCCACGTTTGTTGTTGTTTGTTTTTGCTCTTTTTGGGTGGCCGCCACTCAGCTCCCAAATAAATCGCACATGGAGGCTTATTCTTAATTATAAATGCCCGGCCTTAGCTTGTTTCTAGCCAGCTTTCCTTAACGTATGCTGTCTACCTTTTGCCTCTGGGCTTTTTCCCATTCTCTTCTGTAAATCTTTACTCTGTGGCTTGCTGTGTAGCTGGGTGGCTGGCCCCTGGCGTCCTTCTCTGGCTACTTCTTTTTTCCTCCCAGATTTCTCCTCCTGTTTATTCTCTCTGCCTCCCAGCCCTGCCCATCCTTTCTCCTGCCTTACTATTGACTGTTCAGTTCTTTATTAGACCATCAGGTGTTTTAGACAGGCACAGTAACACAGCTTCATGGAGTTAAACAAACGCAACAAAAACAAAAGTAACATGCCGTAAAATAATACTCTATAACACGTCACCTTCAACTTGTTGTAACATTCTGAATAAACTCAAGTCTGAGTTGTTGGGACTCCAGGTCTGAGTCCCACAAACCCTTGCAGCTAATTTTCTGCCACTTTTGCTTAAATGAACGTTTTAATCAATTTTTACATAGTTTGTAACCAGCGACTCAACACTGCTGATGACAAGGCCAAATGAGTGGCCTGAATTGTGCTTATTTCACCTGTGGTGCATCTAAATCATACCGGGAACCTTCTAAATGCAAACCTTAGCATATTTGTTTTATTTCCTACTATTGGTTGTAGTATTAAGGCAACTCCACATAGTTAAAAGAGAGGTTTATTTGGTAGGGTAACTGGGTTACAGGGTCCGGGACAGGTGTAGTGCAGTCCAGCGGTGTTCTCTGCAGAACTCTGCTCAGTCTACATCCAGCGTCCAGGATCCAGTAACTAAGATCTCGGGTCTTCCGGGCTCCTGTCTCAGCCCCGCCTTGTAGGCGTGACAGTTACCGAAGCCTCAATGGGGGTAGTACTTCCAGGTTAAAGCTGGAACAGCTACCCACGACCCAATCAAAAATGTTTCTACCTAGCTACTCACTGCTAGCTACACTGTGAGAGAGGGAGAGTCCTATTTCCTTCTTTCCTGGTGCCTCAGAATTGGGGTTTGTGTGGCAATGTGGAATTGTAAAGAAGTTGTTTAGTCTTTAAGGAACATTGACTTCTCATGCCATCACCCAGTCATTCCTAGACTTTAAATCACACACATGCTTAATGACAGAGACTGCAAACACAGCCCTCTAGGCTTGGCCACTGCTGACCCGTAGAGGTATTTTTAAATCGGAGCACACACTTTTTAATGTTTTCGATTACCTGTTGAAATCTTAAGTAGAAGATTTCCAATGAAAATCTTTTATAAATTAAGTTCTCTTGAGAAACTGGGAGAACTCGTCTACCCCAGGCCTCAAATGGCCGACCTGTGACATCTCTTGCCACACTATACTCTGGTAAAACGTTTCACAAGTCTCATCCCATGTAAAGGCAGAGTAGAAATCCTCAAATGAAATTTTGCAACCCACTAACTTCGCTTAAATTCATCGTTCTTTCAAAAATCAAAAAGAGCCGGGCGGTGGTAGCGCACGCCTTTAATCCCAGCACTCGGGAGGCAGAGCCAGGCGTATCTCTGTGAGTTCGAGGCCAGCCTGGTCTGCAAAGTGAGTTCCAGGAAAGGTGCAAAACTACACAGAGAAACCCTGTCTCAAAAAACCAAAAAAAACCACCAAAAACCAAAAAGCAAAAATCAAAAAGAAACGGGAGTAGAGGGGTGGATTTGACTAAAACACATATTTGTGTATGAAATTCTCCAAAGAGAAAATTTAAAATGTAAGGGGTGAGGGGAAACGCACAAATAAGACAGAGTCGATATACACATATCCCAAAGCATGAAGGTGTATCCGTAGACCAGTTAACTGGCTTGTAGAAACTAAAAAACTCCAACTCCCATCAGGCACTTGGAGCTCCTCACGGCCGGGCAGGCGGGAAGACACTCCCCGCCCCCCACCCCGCAACCTACAACTACCACTCCCGTGATGCTCCGCGCCCCATCGCAGCGCGGAGTCTAGGGCCACGTCGCTTAGGCGGACCGGGAAGACAACTCACCTTCCTCATGGCTTCCGCGGATACCCGGCGTGTGGGGGACGGCGCCGGGGGCGCCTTCCAGCCTTACCTCGATTCCTTGCGGCAGGAGCTGCAGCAGAGGGATCCGACGCTGCTCTCCGCGGCCGTGGCGCTGCTCGCGGTCCTGCTGACGCTGGGTGAGGCGGCGGGCGGTCGCGGGCGAAGGCGGGGTGGCGGAGTTGGGGCTCGGCGCTGCGGCAGGCCTGGGAGGCGGGCGGCGAGGCTCCCCTCTTCTGCCATCCGCCCTCCAGAACCCAGCAGCGTCGAACGGGGACTCCGAAGTGACCTGGTTCTGGGGACAGGAGTGCCGGAGGCGCCCCAGTGTGCTTGAGCGCCGAGTGCGTCCGCCTCCATCGCTCACACCAACTTTGAGCTGCTTGTATCTGTGAGCTGGGCTCTGGGCTGCTGGGGTGCTAAGGAAGAGTAGAGATCCTCAGATCAAATTTAGCAAGCCATTAATTTTTTTTTCTTCAAAATTCATCGTCCTGTAGATACTTGAAGTCTCCACAGTTGGGATGAGGGACATAGGTGTGGAAGAGCTGACAGTCGATAGTGGCTGGCGCTCAGAAGGTTCCTAACTATTAAAACGACTCTCATGGGGTATAACAATGAATGCGCTGTTTTGTCGTAAATGCCTATGAATGCCCTTGAAAATGAAGGCTGTTTTTCTCTTACCTGCAGTTTTCTGGAAGTTCATCTGGAGCAGAAAGAGCAGTCAGAGGGCTGTTCTCTTCGTCGGGCTTTGTGACTCTGGGAAAACGTTGCTGTTTGTCAGGGTAATGCTTTGATTTCCACCCCTGTTAAACGGAATAGAAATTGTCATGGCATGTCAGTATTCCTGTCCTCTTGTGGCTTATTTGGTACAGGAAACTAAGCAAGTTTGGAACAAGTTTTAAAAAATATTTTATGTATTTTAAGGTCTTTTCTTTTTTTAATTATATGTATGCGTGTGGGTGTGTGCACAGGAGTGCCTGTGCTTGTGGAGGACAGATGTGTACATTCGGTGGAGTGAGCTGCCTGATGTGGATGCTGGGAATTGAACTCAGGGCCCTTACAAGAGCAGTATGTGTTCTTAACCAACTTAGCTGACCCTCCTCCAGCCCTGGGAGTTCATTTTTTCTTACATGGGAATACAAAAAGACTCTAGGAAAACCTGTAACCATCCCTCCACACATGCACACATTTAGTCCTTACTCTAAGGTCTTATGTAAATATATTTCTGTGGGTAAAGATGCCAGAAGAGTTGTTTTTGGGTAATAAACCCTTCTGAAAGCTTGCCAGAGACTTTTCGTCGTTGTTTCAGATTTTGGATGTTTTGGATTTTGGAACATTTGCATACATTTTTTAAAAATCACTTTAGCATCCTTAATCTGAAATGCTCTAAAATTCAAAACAATATATTTTACTCATTTGTAAACTGTGTTTTGAGTTCTGTATAACTCAGCAGTTCTTACCGAACACTCACTGTAGCAGTGTTGGGATTGCAGTTGGACCAAGAATGGGCAAAGACATTTGCATCCCAGGCTGTTGACTGATTCCTCAGTAAGTTCACTGTCGCTGAATGTGACATGTGACATCCACGTTAGCTGATAGGTTTTTTAGTGTAAAGCATGTGAGGGAAATGTTGAAGCTGGATGCCAGACTTGACTTGGCAGTGGCACGGGCAACTTCTTTGCTGAGGCAGGTGATATGGTTAGAATATATGACCGGGGGCTGGGGAGGTGACCCAGTCCATAGTGCTTGCCTGGTAAAGTGAGGGCCTGAGTTTGGATCCCTGGAACCCCCCTAAAAGCCAGGCCCAGAGGTGCCTGTCAGTCATCCCAGTAGACACACAGTGGATCCCTGGAATTCCTTGGCTGGCCAGCCTTGCTGGTTGGTGAGCTCCAGGTTCAGTGAGAGACCACAGCCTCAAGGTGGAGAGGAACGACTCCCAGCGTCAGCCTCCAGTGTACACACACATACACATGTTAAAGGATGCATGTCAGTTTCTTGGGCTAACCAGAATACAATGGCTACAGGCATATGCTTTTAAGTTTAGCCTGCTTTATTACTCTTCTTCATCACTTTCTTAAATCTAAGCAATCAATAAAAGAATAAAGGAAGCCCAATAACCTTTGTTGGGACATGAAATAGTTGCAGCATGGCCAGTTCTGAGCAACTCAGCATTATCAAAGACATGACAAAAATGATCCTCCTTTGGTAGTTTAAGCTGGTGAGGCTTCCTTTTACTAATACTTAGCTTTATATAGCCAGTATTTTTTTTTTAACTGAGCATGTTTTACTATGGAGAATTTCCACTCTGCCTTTGGAGGGTACAAATTATATTTAGTCCTTTGTGTGTGTGTTCATGTGTGTGAGTGCTGGTATGTGCGTACATGTGTGTGCCCTGTCACATCCATGGAGGTCAGAGGATGGCAGGTGTTGGTTTTCTCTCATTGCTGTGCCAGGTTAGCAAGTCTGAATTTCTGGAAATTCTCCTGACACTTCCTCCCACCGGAGTACTAGAGCTATGAATGTGTGCATCACTAGATCTGCTTTTATATGGGTTCAGAAGATCTGAACTCAGATTGGCAGGCTTGCACATCTCCTCAGGCCTTGAATTGGTTTTGGTAGTTTAAATGTTTACAGGTCAGTGAATTTGAACCCTTGCTGTTGTTTGAAGAAAATAATATTCAGCCAAGGGTGTCACCCATTGGTAGAGTTGCTTTTGAGGCATGTTTGAGGCTTTGGGTTAGATCACCAGCACTGCAGAAAAGAGGAGTAAAGCCCATAGTTAATTATAGTTTTCTACAGGTTAAAAATAAATCAGTACGATCCTTTTCCGCTATTTCAAGTAGCATTCATTCATTTGACCTTATGCTTGAGAGAATCAAAATGTTATTCTTTAAATTGGGTGTGGTGTTATTGTAGTGTGCTTACCCAGATCTCGTCCATCTTGGTTTTTTATAGTTGCTAACTGGCCACTACAGAGACACACAGACTTCCATTACCGACAGTTCTGCTGCGTACAAAGTCAACAATAACAGGGTAAGGTATCTGTGGAATGTTTTAGAATCTGACACTCTTCTTACTGTGAATTCTAGAAAATACTCTGACCAGAAGCAACTTGGAGAGGAAAGGGTTTAATCTGGTTTACACTCCCAGATCCTAATCCATTATTAAGGGAAATCAAGGCAGGAAGAAACCTGGAAGCAGGAGCCATGTAGAAATGCTGCTTGCTGGCCCATTCTTTAGTTTACTTAGCTTGATTTCTTCATAGCCCTGGACCAGCTGCCTCAAAATGGAACCTCCCACATCGGTCTGGGCCCTCTTATATCAAGTAACAATCAAGAAAATGACCCCACTGATGCCCACAGGCCAATCTGATGGGACTTCTTCTGTTAAGGTTTCTCCTCTCAGATGACTGTAAGCTGGGTCAAGTTGACAAAGCTAACTAGCACCCTGGCATGACCTTCTTGAATGGAGTAGTCCGAGGATGTAGGTATCATTTGTAGCCTACTTTTATGAAGAACATAGTCTTCATAGCAGATCTATCCTTGCCAATCTTGGTAGCAGATTTTGTCCTGCCCAGCTGTCCTTGTAACTTATGTACAGGGTTATATCACATTTCATTCTTTCTAGGTTCTGTCTGTTCAACATTACTACGAGTTTCAGTGGGCATTGGGTCTTTTTCTGTTACAAGAGGCAATACATAGGATAATCATTTGCTTAAAAGTAGTTTTCCTTTTCTGTCTCTGCTACCCAGACTTCTTTAGAAGCTGTCTCATAATTAGATTTTTAGTCAGAACATTGTTAATATTTAGTGTCATTACAATCTTTTATGAGCATTGTTGTGATGGATATATATTGTACATTTCAAAAGTACCCCCAAAGAATCAAAAGAACGGCTTGTTGCAGACCTGTGTAGCTGCAGGGTGCAGATGGTAACTGCCAAGCTGATGAAATGCTAACAGCTTTGGTGAGGGAGGGCTGAGGGCTCAGTGGCCGATTAGGGATGGAAGGATAGGTGATGGATGAATTAGAGTTTTGTTTTTTTTTTTTTTTTTGGTTTTTTCGAGACAGGGTTTCTCTGTGTAGCTTTGCGCCTTTCCTGGATCTCGCTCTGTAGACCAGGCTGGCCTCGAACTCACAGAGATCCGCCTGGCTCTGCCTCCCGAGTGCTGGGATTAAAGGCGTGCGCCACCACCGCCCGGCTGAATTAGAGTTTTGAGTTTAGAGACCCTGTTCTTCCCCTTTTTGGTGCCTTAAGAATTAAGCACTGTCAGAAATAAAAGGATCAACCATTTGACAACTTTTTTTTTCTACAATGGTACTTCTCTGATCTAGAACTTTATTATTATTATTATTTTATTTTTTTTAAGACAAGGTCTCATTGTAAGCATTGCAGCTTGGATGGAAAGGTCTCCTGGCAGTTAGGAGCCAAGGAATACCACAAGGTCACTGTAAGCAGCAGCTTACAGCTCTGCTCCAAGGAAAGGTTCCCAATGCAAGTGTAACAACTCTGCTCCAGCAAGGGGAGGGTTTCCCCAGCAAGGTTGTTACAGCTCTGCTCTGGAGAAGTGTTACAGCTCTGCTTAGGTCCCCCAGAGTGTGACAACTCTGCCCTGCTGGGGAAAACTTCCCCAGCAAAAGTGTTAACAGTTCTGCTCCAGTCTGCTCTGGCTCTCTCCAGCGAAAATGTCACACTACATAACAAACCTCACTTGAGATTTAGTGGGAAGGAAGAATCCAGGTTGGCTGCCTCTAGGTGAGAAGCAGCAGCAAACTGAACAGGGTACAGAGCATATATGGTTTCTTGGGGGTTAGAGGGGTGGTGTTGTTCCAGGGTGGCTTGGTATTGGCGGACTTTTGTAGCCTGATTCTGGGCCTCAACAGTTAAGAACACTTGTTGTTCTTCCAAAGTACTGGGAGTTTAGTTTCTAGTACCCACATCCCATAGTTCACAGCTGCCTGTAGCTTCAGCTCCAGGAAATCTAACACCCTTTTCTGGTCCTCACTGTCACCCACATATACATGTACACATATACATACATACACATAAATAAAAATAAATAAATCTGAAATAATACTTTCTGTTGGGTTAAATGATTTTAAATACTTTATTAAAGTTGATAGACAGCGTTCCCTTAGGCATATGAGCCTGCACTGTGCTTTGTTGAACATAAAGAACACTCACCCCTTCTTCCTGTCTCTTGTCCTGCTCCCTGGTATCTGCTCCAGTCTAAGCAGCAATATACCCAGTCATGTCTTCTGGATCACTAGCACTGTGTGGTTCAGTGCTAGTGCTGCTTCAGAAACAGAGCTAGACCCCAGCGTGCTCTCCTGGCTCTTACCAGCACATAAAGCAGGAAAGCTATTACACATGTTTGTGGGTGAAGGTCTGGGCAGACTACCCAAAAGGGCATAGTGAATCCAGAGGGTTGTGTCCGGTCTGTATGTGGTACTGACTTCTTCCCGCAGATACCCTGGTCATTACTGGTTGAGGATAAGGTCAGTGTGAGCAATGATGGATGGATCTGATACATGTACCAGACCACACCTGATAGTCTTGTCATTTCTGTCTACAATAACACGTGTTCCAAGGATGAGGTCGTAGCATGGTGACTAGCACCTTCTAGGGTGTATAGTGAGTTTGTTCAGTAGAGGACCAGGAATTGGAACAAAATACTGACAGCGTTGGAACAAACAAATGGTGTATCTAATATACAATATCTAAAACTCAGAGTCAAAATATGGATATCTCATTAAGATTGAGAATCTCATTAATTGTAATGTGTACTATAAATTGTATGTTTTTAACTTTACATTATTTGTGTATATTTACCAATTTTCATATGGGTTTGCTTATACTCATATTGGTGTATTTCCTAAGCCTTGGATAGACCATGCTTCCATTATTCCTTCAGACAATAAGGTGTCTCTATTCTCTTAAGAACATTTATTAAGCCAGGGGTGGGGGGTGCTGCACACCTTTAATCTGAGCATTAGGGAGGCGGGGGCAAGGCGGATATATCTGAGTTTGAGGCCAGCCTAACTCTACAGAGTGAGTTCCAGGACAGTCAGAGCTACATAGTAAAACCCTGTCTCAAAAAAACCAACCAACAAACAAAAACCAACCAACCAAACAAAAATGTATTAACATTGTAATTTTATACATCTTACATAATTTTATATTGCATTGTTCCCTCATAATTCATGTCATGTCAGGAACTGTGCTTACTGTTTCATTGCCAGAGCTTTGGCCATTTTATTTATTTAGTATGTGGCGGGGGACAGTAATGTGGGGGTGCAGGTATGTGTGCGGGGATCAAGCTTGGGTATATGGTTCTTTAGGATGCCGTACGCATTTGTTTTTGAGACATGGTCTTTCACTGTCCTGGAACTCACAAAGTAGGCTAGGCTGGATGATCAGAGAACTTCAAGAGTCTGCATGTCTCTGCTTCTCCAGTGCTGGGGTGAAGTACCACCACACTGGGCCTTTTTTTTTTTTTTTTAATTTAATTTTTTTTTTTAATGTAGGCTTTTAGACTAAAACTCAGATCTTTTTACCAACTGACCTGTCTTCCCCAGCCCCCTCCCCCACTTCTTTCTGTGCCTCATGCATCCTAGGCAAGCACTGTGTTCTTCATCAGTGTTTACTATTAGGAAGTGCTCCACAGACATCCATCTGCTTGATTCATTAGTGCAGCACTGGTGTGCTGCCCATGTTCTGATGGTGAGATTTATCCTGTGAACCTGGAACTGGACCAAATGCTGACTTGATCTCACTCTTGCTGTCCTCAGGGCAATAGCCTGACTTTGATTGACCTCCCTGGACATGAGAGCTTGAGGCTTCAGTTCTTAGATCGCTTTAAGTCTTCAGCCAGGTAAGTTAGGGAGGAAGTGACATGGGTTTATTCAAGTCTGTACTGTGTTGTTGGCATACACCCATGCTGCTTCCTCTGTTAAGATTCTGACACTAAAAAACAAAACAAAAAAGATGTTGACACCATGGAGCTCTGGGGTGGAAAGGTCATTTACCTGTAGTAGGCCATTGGGATACTAGGATCATGAAGTTGGGGGGTGGCTTAAGGAGAGTTTCTCAGGGAGTGTTACTATCGTTAACATGATTAAATTTCGTGGTAACTCTGAAGATACTGTTTAAAAAATAATGTTTTATTTTTAGCTATATGGATGTGAGGTGGTATATGTGCACCTGTGTGCAGGTACATGCATAGGCCAGAGGAGGATGTTGAGTATCCTGGAGCTGGAGTTACAAGTGGTTGTGAACTTCCCAAGGTGGGTGCTGGGAACTGAACTCAGTTCCTCTGCAAAAGCTGAACACACACTGAACTGTTGAGCCATGTCTCTGGCCCTTAACTCTGAAGATATGTTTAATGATATGTTGGAGCTATTAGAATATGGAAAAGGAATTTTGTTTGTTTGATTTTTGATTTTTTTGAGACAGGGTTTCTCTGTGTAGCCCTGCTATCCAGGAACTCGTTTTGTAGACCAGGCTGGCCTTTTGTAGATCTGCCTGCCTCTGCCTTCCTGAGTGCTGGGATTAAAGGCATGTACCATCACCAGGCTGGAAAAGGAATTTTTAAGGCTAGGATGGATCCTAGAAGATGCTAAACTCAAAACATTACTCTTTTTGGTTTTCTTTTGTTTTGATAAGGTGACAGTATCTCTTGAGCTCAGGCTGGCCCTGAACTGTAAGCTCTTTCTGCCCCAGCCTCCCAGGTATTGTATGTATGTAAACTAAGTATCTTTTCCTTCCTGCCTGCCTGCTTAGTTTTGGCTTTGTAAGAGTCTCATGTAGGCCAGGATGACCTTATCCTACTAAGTGCAGGGATTACAGATGAGTGTCACCACATCTAGCAAGTCTTTCCTTCCTCCCTCTCTCCTTCCCTCCCTTTCTTTCTTTGCCATCAAGAAGAAATTCCCTTATCTTTTTTTTTTTTTTTTTTTGTTTTTTTGTTTTTCGAGGGCTTCTCTGTGTAGCTTTGGAGCCTGCCCTAGATCTTGCTTTGTAGACCAGGCTGGCCTCAAACTCACAGAGATCTGCCTGCCTCTGCTTCCCGAGTGTTGGGATTAAAGGCGTGCGCCACCACCACCTGGTTTCTTGTAGATTCTTAAGCATGTTTTGCACATAGTGCAGTGGCATGGTAGCTGGATATCTTTGGGCATAACTGCTAATTGTTTGCATGGATGCTGTGGAATAATCCTCTTGTACACTGTACAGATTTGTCACTTGAATTGGTTTAATAAAACGCTGATTGGCCAATAGCCAGGCAGGAAGTATTGGGGGGAGACCAAACTAAGGATGATGGGAAGGAGAAGGGCAGAGTCAGGAGTTGCCAGCCAGACACGGAACAGGAGATGAATGTGCCATGCTAATAAATAAGGTACTGCGATGTGGCAGAGTGTAAATAAGGAATATGGGTTAACTTAAATGTTAAGAGCTAGTTAGTAACAAGCCTGAGCTATTGGTCAAGCATTTATAATTTATATTCAGCCTCTGAGTCAGTTATTTGGGACTGGGCAGTTGGGACAGAAAAACTCTGATTACACATGGATAGCGCACAACTGGTCTCTTCAAAAAGGCCAGCCAGAGAGGCCTGGCTTGGCTTCTGTAAAGCACCAGTAGCTGTACTCTGGAAGTTGGTCTGTCTTGAAGTCCCAGGCAATTTCTATACCAGATGCTGACTGGGAGTCTGTGGCTCAGAGTTCAGTAGAGTGTCACAATACCAGGCTTGGGATGATGAGGTTTCCTCACCCCTACAGTAGTGGCATGCTCTTACAAGCAGCCTTGTAGGCAGTTGTTTGCTAGGTATTTTTCCACTGGTGGGTTTGGAGCAGTCCACTTCGTAGGAACCATGGTATGGAAACCGTCCTTATTATCTCCCTTGTATAACCCAGCCAAAAGCTAGAGGCAGCACGGCGGCCCAGCAAGTCTGTTCTTGAATTACATTAATCAGTGCCTCAAGAGCAATTTTTAGTGTGACTCGTCCTGTCAATTGATTCTTGAATTCTTTCCTAAAATCTGTATGCTCTAGTTTAAATGCTTTCTTCATGTTTGCTATCTAACACTGGTTAAAGACTAAAGAGGTAAATCTGTGTGCTCTAGTTTAAATGCTTTCTTCATGTTTGCTATCTAACACTGGTTAAAGACTAAAGAGGTAAATCTGTGTGCTCTAGTTTAAATGCTTTCTTCATGTTTGCTATCTAACACTGGTTAAAGACTAAAGAGGTAAATCTGTGTGCTCTAGTTTAAATGCTTTCTTCATGTTTGCTATCTAACACTGGTTAAAGACTAAAGAGGTAAATCTGTGTGCTCTAGTTTAAATGCTTTCTTCATGTTTGCTATCTAACACTGGTTAAAGACTAAAGAGGTAAATCTGTATGCTCTAGTTTAAATGCTTTCTTCATGTTTGCTATCTAACACTGGTTAAAGACTAAAGAGGTAAATCTGTGTGCTCTAGTTTAAATGCTTTCTTCATGTTTGCTATCTAACACTGGTTAAAGACTAAAGAGGTAAATTTGTATGATACATTTCAGTGATGTGAAGGCATATTTTAATGCTGAATCTGGAAAGCATCTTGGAGATATGTTGTGATAGTTTAATTGGCAGTATTGTGCCTGAGGTATTCATGGTTCTGACTGATGGTATCCTAGCTTCCTTTTTGTTGAGCATTCTAGACTTAGACTTTGTCATTGCTTCCTGCCACAGAAAGATGGTGACGAGCAATTTGTCATAGACAAGAATGATTTTTATTCCTCAGACAATTGAGACATATCTAGAACTGCTAAATTTGTCCATAATTGGGTGTTCTTTTCCCTCTTGTTGAGTACTGTGACACACACTGCAGAGGAGACTGAGGCAGGGGGATGGCAAGTTTGAGACCTGCCTATACAATTTAGTGAAACTATCTCAAAACCAGTTATTTTCTATTGTTAATTTACAGTTTGTAGTATAATTATACTGTTATCCAAGTGTTTTAAATAAATGGAGTATGTAGCATATAAAGATAAAACTAAGTTCACAGAAACTTCAGTCATAATACAAGGAGTTGAAAATACTTTTACTATGGTATGTGACTTTTTCTTTTTTTCAGATTTTTTTAAAAATTTGTGTACATGTGCCTGTGTGTATGTTTGTGCATCTTGTATGTACAGGTGCCTGAAGGGCTAGAACATGGTGCTGGATCCCCTAGACTGGAGTTACAAGCAGTTGTAAGCTGCCTGATGTGGATGCTGGGAACCTAACCTTCATGCTCTTATCTGCTGAGCCATCTCTTGAGCTCCACGGGACATTTTTAAACATTCTACCTTCCACTTAAGATTCTTTCCCCATCTGCTGACTTAAAAGTATATTATTTTTACTCAATAGATTCCTGCCCCATTTTAAACAGTAAACTACAGTATCCAATCAGAACTGTGAACTGTAAGCACCCGTGTTTTGATCTTCCCCAGACCTTCTGTTATTTGGGGATGCCCCTCTGTAACGGCCAGGAATTGCTACTTCTCTTATATCCAATAGTTACTTAAGTGGACCTGCTGGCTATGATTTCTTGGCTCATTGCCAAATTCTGCTCCTTCCTTTCAAGTTCTGTTTTCTCAGTGTCATTTCTCTATGGGACATCTGCCTTTGGCTTCATGGTGTTTGGAATTCAAGTGTACCACCCTACACCAAAGAACATTATCATCTGTTCAAGTGCAGTGGCTAATGGGCCCTGGGCAACTGGACCAACCGCTGCACAAAGCCTCCCACTCAAAAGCAGTCTAATGGAGGCTACAGCTGGAAAATAATTCCAAAAGAAATGGAAACACCTGGCCTAAATGCCTTACAGCTACAGGGCACGAGTGGACACTGCTGCCATAAGAACCCCAAGTAAAAGATTAGCATAAAAATTGGGCCAGATTCATCAAACCCTGTGATGCCAACAGATGGCACTGTCTGCGCTTTCTTGTCTCAGCCTGGGACTCTGCTGACGTTTTTTGATCCTTCTCTGCCATCTCTTTGCTAGTTTATCTAACAAGGCCTTTTCCCTTGAGTGTTATGTGAGCCCCTCAGATTGCAGTTTAGTTTGCTGTGATCTTTTCAGCTAAGAGTCATCTCTACTTCGGTTTCTACTGAGTTGCTAATTTCATATACTATTTTTATAATGTAGTCTTTTAAATATACCCTTTAAAAGTCCACCTGTTTCTTTTTGTTTATTTCTTGTATTATCCTCTACAATTATTTTAAACATTTTATTATTATGGCCTTGATATTTTGAAGGCAGGCTCTCATACAGTTCAGACTGGCCTTGCACTCATTATTTAGCCAAAGATGACCTTGAGTTTCTGATCTCCTGCCTCTACCTCCTTGGTGCTAGGATTGCAGGCATGTGATTGGCCTGGCTTTATGCTGGCTGGGATGGGATCTCAGGCTTTGGGCTTACTGTGCAGCATTCTACCAACCGAGCTGCATCTCCATGAGTCTGTGCTTAGGTCACTCTAAACTCCAGTTTGGGGCTTCTGGGTATTCTCTCTTGTAATTGCATATTTTCATCTATGTTTTGATCCAGAACCCCTCCTTCAAGGGAATGGGTGTCACTGATGAGGTTGACAGTCTTTGTTATTTTAGGAATAAAGGATAGACTCCATCTGTTGGTGTCATGGAGTTTTGATGAATCTGGCCCAGTTTTTATGTAATCTTCTGCGTAGGGCTCTCACTCCAGGGGGAATGTCAACTGCTGCACGATAGCTGTGAAGCATTGGAGATGACGAGGTGTTTCAGTTCCTTTGGAAAAGTTTTTCTAATCACAGCCTCCATTAGACTGCCTTTGAATTGGAGGCTTTGTGCAGGGTGTTTGGTGTGGCTGCCCAGGGCCTGTTAGCCACAGCACGTCTCTCTCCATCTGGGCCTCCAAGCCCCTGACCCTAGGACCTGTTGTCTTTAGTTCCCATGCATTACCCCTGATGGCTTTGTTTCTGTACGGGATGATTGTTACTGTTGTTGCCTGAGGTTAGGCCCCACCTGCTCGTAATTCTCCTTGACTTACCCTCTCAGGAGTTGTCTGTCTTCCACTTAGGCACCTGTAGTCTTTGTAGGACAGAAAACAAGCTTTCCAGGTCAGTGTGTCTGTCATCTCTGACCTGGCTTTCCCTGACTCACCCCTCCAAATTTCTCCTTTATTTATTTGTATCGTCAGCAGACTCCTCTAGCCCACAGCTGTGCCCAGTTTGTGTGTTTCTTTGGTCAGCTCAGCTTCCCATCGTCCTTTAGTCTTCCACTGGGTCCTGTTCAAATGTCTTCCTCTTTGTTCTTACTCCATGGTGGGTTGTCGGATGATTTCCTGGCCCTTGAAAGCAAACGTCATTTCTTGTATTTCCAGTGTCCTTTTAGTTTCTTAACAGTTTTATTATATTATGGTGATGATGATGATGTCGATGTCAAGGTGTGTGTGCTCGTGCATGTGTGTGTGTATGTGTACTTGTGTGTTTGTATGACGGGGCTGAGTCTAGAGTGATCTGGGATCCTGTTTACTGTGTGTGCTCATGTACCTCTTCCCTTTCACTGTCCCTGCAGGGCTGTGGTGTTCGTGGTGGATAGTGCCACGTTCCAGCGGGAGGTGAAAGACGTGGCCGAGTTTCTGTATCAGGTCCTCATCGACAGCATGGGTCTGAAGAACACACCCTCCTTCTTAATAGCCTGCAATAAGCAAGGTGCTTCCTGGTGATGGCAGTGGATCGGTGTGGGATTCCTCCTCTTGGCAGTTAGCTCATTTACCTGCAGTTGTTAATGTTGAGTGTGTGTGTGGGGGGGGTGTTCATAAATTAAGGGATTAAATCTTAATCTATTTCTGTTACTTTCCCAGTCTTTTTACCAGGCTGTCCTAAGGGCTGGCAGCCAAGGGGCTGTGTTGTTATACCCTTTATACAGTGCTTTTTATTTTAAAGATTAGAAATTATTTTACTTCACCAAATGTTAGTTTGTGAGGCTGCATACTGTCAGTTCTGGAGAGATTGTTGGGGTCTCTCCTCCAGACACGCTTTACCACTGAGCAGTTCCACCAGAGGAAATTGCAGCCCCTTCTCTGGATGCTCAGACTCGGGTCAGCCAGGCTTCAGTTCCCAGACCAGTTCAAGTAAAGCAGGATAGGTAGTCTTTCAGAGCTCTTCCACATCTTCTTAGGAGCCTGAAGCATTTTTCAGAAGTGATTTTTTTTAAATCCTAATACCTGCTGTGGGTGTTATTTAAAAAAATTTTTTATGTGTATGGGTGTTTTGCCTGTATGTATGTCTGAACAATGTGCATACCTAGTGCCTGAGGAAATTAGAAGAGGGCTTTGGATCTGCTGGGACTGGAGGAACAAACAGTTGTGAGCTGCCATGTGGGTGCTGGGAATCGAACCCTGGACCTTGGGAAGAGCAGTCAGTGCTCTTATCGCTGAGCCATCTCTCCAGCCCCAGCTCTCACCTCTTTCTCTATTTTGTGTAAGGAGGGCAGTCAGGACTGATTTGGCTTGGGCTTTCTGCCCTCCTGGGCTGGTTTCTAACCTAGTGTACTTCCTGTTCACCACGGCATCTTAGTATTAGCTGGCTGTGTGCGGGAGCTAAGGTAGTGTGTGTTGAAAGTTCTCATCACCTGTCAGTCACAGTGCTGGTAAGCTTGCTTTCTTTAGACTGACTTGACAAGTGAAGTATTCAAAGGTTTGTACGGTGTGGAAAACTTAAGCTTAATTAGTTTCAAGGTCATTATAGCACTAAAACAATGTTTTATTGCATTTAATGTTTTAAAGCATTTTTTCAAAAAACCGCAAATACAGCATTTACTTTGACAGAGAAAGAAATAGCAATAAAACATGATTTAACAAAGGGATGGGAGATAAACTTCCTGGTATAAATAGGGATTTTCTTTCTGTGCTAGAAGTTCAGGGAAAAGACACATTCTGGTTTAAACTACAACAATGCTCTTATTTTTTCCCAGATATCGCAATGGCAAAATCAGCAAAGTTAATTCAGCAGCAGCTTGAAAAGGAACTGTAAGTGTGCATGTACTCCTGGTAAAATGTCCTGACACTTAAGCTTTCAAGGGTTGAAGTCTGTCACCTTCGGTTGTATATGGCTATCAAAATTATAATCAGGATTAGTATGGGATATGTGTGTTAAATAATTTATGAAAGAATTAATGGAATTATAAAAACTACTGAGGTGTTTATAGCTATTTTAAAATTTCATGACTTACTGAAACCATTAGTTCATTTTGTTTTAATCACTGTTACTCTTTATAGTTGGAAGGTTTTAGAGACTTAAAATACCACATTTAGAATAATTTTATTTCAGTCACTGAAGGTATTTGTTCACACAGTAAGGCATGTAAAACAGTGTTCAAAGGTACAAATAATATGTACAAAATAACAACATTCAATAAAAACTGAGGGTTGGGGGAAAGGGAGGTAAAAAATTAAAAGCCATTGGAAGCTGGGTATGGTCCTGCACAGCTGTAATCCCAGGACTCGGGAAGCAGGGAGACTAAGAGTCCCAGCCTGCCTGGCCTGTATAGTGAAAGCCTGTCCCAGAAAATAAAATTTAAAAATTATAGCCACTGGAAATTATTGTTGACAGAACAAGAACACTTAGGAAGAATATAAAAATCTACATTACTGTTTTCTAGTTTCTTTTTTTTTAAAGATTTATTTATTTATTATGTATACAGCATGTATGACCAGAAGAGGGCAACAGACTTTATTACAGATGGTTGTGAGCCACCATGTGGTTGCTGGGAATTGAACTCAAGACCTCTGGAAGAGCAGTCAGTGCTCTTAATCTCTAAGCCATCTCTCCAGCCCGTTTTCTAGTTTCTTAATTGATTTCAAGCTATTGGCAATATTATTTATCTTGCTTTTAGTGTTGAAAAACTTGTAAGTTGAGTGAGATAAACAGTGAGCGTTACAGAATCTAGTAAGCTTCTGTGCTGTGCAGATTTCTAAGAAGTAAAAAGCTTGTTCACAGAAGAAAAGACCAACACAGTAAACCCAGTTACATTTTCTTACTGCTTTTGTAAAAGAAACGGTTTGTTTTTTTTTTTTTTTTTTTTTTTTTTTTGAGACAGAGTCTTATTATGTAGCCCTTGCTATCCTGGAACTCGCTGTGTAGCCCAGGCTGGCCTCAAACACAGAGATCAGCCTGCCTCTGCCTCCCTAGTGATGAGATTAAAGGTGTGTGCCCAGCTTGCCATTTTAGTCGGATCTAGTATTTATAAAAATGAATCCCTGACGGGAAATCAGCAAGCATGCAGCCAGTTTGCTCTCTAATAGGACCAGCAGCTCACAGGAAAATGACTTAATTTGGGTCGGTTTTCCTCCTTACAAATGAACAGGATAGATGGGACTTTGAAGTTTATGGATGTATGAACTTTCTGTCCAAGAAGACTCACAGTAAAAAGCTCCTTATCTCCCTGTGCTGAAGTTTCCAGAACTTGAGTTTTTATAATACAGCATACATTTAAAACTGTATTTTCAATGCTGTTATTCAGGAGATCTTAGAAGTGGCCGTAGGCTTAAAAAGCTAGTGTGACCTGGGTCTCCTAACCCATTGGCTCTGGCTAACAGACAGGTTGAACCCATCTCACCTGTGTGTCTGAAACAGTGGTTCATGGATATAAAGGATAAGTCAGGATGTTAATAGTGAATTGACCTTTAGCCTATCAGTCTTCAATGGGTACTAATGGATTGCCTCTGACTTGTCCCTTGCTCCACAGCAACACCTTACGAGTCACCCGGTCTGCTGCTCCCAGCACACTGGACAGTTCCACTACTGCACCTGCTCAGCTGGGAAAGAAAGGCAAAGAATTTGAATTCTCCCAGTTGCCCCTCAAAGTGGAGTTCCTGGAGTGCAGTGCCAAGGGTGGACGAGGGGATGCCGGCACTGCTGACATCCAGGACTTGGAGAAGTGGCTGGCCAAGATCGCCTGAGGAGCAGCCTTGGCTGCAAACCTTCATCTGTGACTGACTGGCAGTTTGGGAAGGGCTGTGCTGGGGTGGAGCCGATAAAGAGGGGCAGGGCATGTGTCTGCAGCATCTCCGTGTTCTAGGAACAGTTCTACTAGCTTGAGAGCACTTGTCCCTCCCTTTCAGCTCCTTTCTCAACTAGTCCTTCTTATTTAATTCTCCTGTTCTCCCTTTGGAAGGTGTAGCACTGCTTTAGTGTGTGACAGAGCAGAGAGGCCTTACCATGAGAATAGGCTTGTCTGGAAAGTTCTTGTCCTCTGCCTATCTGCTTCGGTCTCTTTTCCTGGAACCAGACCTTCCTGTTTGTGGAACCAGTTAATTTCCAGTTGCCCCTGATATTCTGGCATAATTCATTGTCTGTTCTTAGTGAAGTCTCAGGTGTAAAGGTAGTTACAATGAAGACAGGTTCAGAACCACAGGGCACAGTTGACAGTGTGTTCTTCATAGGCTCAGTGACTTATCTCCATTCCAGCTTGGGTTCAAAAGCCTGCTGGGAACCCCTAGAGTCACCCTCACATGATGGATGTAAGAGCCAACTCCCCAGACACTCATGGCTTAGTGTGTTCTAGAGGAACTGGGGAGAGCCGGGAGACAGTATGCTGCTGCTTCTGGGGTGGGGAGGCCCCGCCCCGGCTGTCTGCCGGTGCCACTTGGTCAGCTCCTGTTGTGTCTGCCACCTCAGCTCAGATGCTGTGGAACGACACAAACAGAAGTCCACTGTATAGATTTTTAAGTTTGTATTCATTCATGCTTTAAAAAAATTTGCCTTTTCAAAGTAATGCTGTCTTAAACATTTGTGTTTTTATTGTTTTTACAAATGACTGGTATCTTGATAAATAACTGTCTATCTGAAAGCACTAAGTTGGATGATAAGTGAGGGAAAGCTGAACTAGGATTCAAGGTCAACTCTAGGTTACCTGAGCCTACAGACTGCTGCGTGTATACAGACAGACTCTTCATCTCCTCTCGAACTCGGAGACAGGCCTAACTAAAGACACCACGACTGGAGGTGCAGTGCTCTGGGAGCATGCACAGAGCATCTGGGCTGGCCTTGGGGACCAGTGAGAGGCACAGGATAAACACACAGGGTGCTCCCTGTGCAGCCCAGCCCAAGCCTCTGCCGGCCACCACATGGCCTGCTGTGGGTCACTTGGGCTGACAGCACACTCCCAGATTGCGCTATTCCCAGCATAAGTACTCAGGGCTCCCCACCCTAAAACATTTCTTTCTGGTGTATAAGACAAACACACTACAAAATGGGTAAGTCAAGAGATGACCCTGTCAGTTCTCACCGGAAAGCAGTATCGCAGCTGGGATTCTTACTGCTCTTTGGCCGCTGCTGTTCATATTAGTCAAATGAGACGGAGCATGAACGACATTCACATCATTATAGGTGCTCAGGAAGAAAAGATGTTTCAGTTAAAGAACATGTGTTCACTGACTCCTGCCTTTTTCTGGGTAATAGTGATTTTGTTTACTGGGAGAATCAGTACATCAAAGAGGTGATGAGGATGCAGAGCAGGGCTAGGTTTTACTCATAGCCCAGAGATGGTCTTAAGCAAAGGGTGAGCTGGGCAGGGCTGGAAACGAGGTTGGCAGAATGCTTGCCTAGTACTGTACAGCCCAGTTGTAAAGGGGCAGTTGCATCGAGGAAGGCCAGAAGGATTCCACTCCGGAATCTTCCATGAAGCATTGGCCAGATTTCATTCTGGCTCTCTCAAGCCATGGCGGTGGCTTCTCAGTACCAGGTGTCCCGGTTTCTGGAAGGGCCGCAGCTTGCTCTTAATGAACAACAGCTGGGGAACCCCTGCCACTGCTTCCCAAGGCCTCCAGTATGTCCTGACATGAGGTGTTCCGCTGACATCAGTTCACCCGGCTTGTAATGCTTTCGTTTGTTAGGTTTTTCCTTAACTGTCAAAGCTCCTGCTGGTTCATTCCCATTCTCATCTAAAGCAGCATATAATGCTGTCTGTATTCCTCTGCCCCTCCCCCCTCATGCTATCCCCGTGCCCACTGTGCAGTCCTAGCCAAGTTAACCATTTCTCTTCCTGTAGCCTCCATGCACCACATGGAGCACCTAGCCATGTCCCACTGACCTGATAAAAATACATATGTGTGTGTGTGTATACACATATATATACATAAGCACACACAAATATATGTATATATAATATACATGTCATATATACCTATATATCCCAGAGTACAAGTATATATAAAATTTAGGCTTAGCAAACAGTGACCACTCTTGCAGTGATGGGGAAAGCCACCCTGCAAGCCCTGCCCTTGCCATACTGCACTTTCAGCAGAGCCATCACAATGTCATCTTGTGTACACACCTGGAGTACCTCCTCAGTCTTGTGGGGACTGCAGAGCAGCTGCGCTAACATCTGACCTAGAGAAAACAACCACTCCCTCAGTGGTTCCAGGCCTGGTGGCTCTGGACACTACTGTGTTGGGGAAGGACTGTTGCTGTTCTCACTTTCATGTAGCATGTGGTTATTTTCTCAGGCCCTCTACCCTTCGCCATCCCCTGCACCCGCCCACCTCACACCTTATAACTAGATACTAATCTAAGGCAGTGGGCAGGGACTTTCGTGTCCTCACCCTGCTAATCAGTAGTGGCCCTGAGGTGGCAAATTGGGGTGTTCCAGAACTTTTAGAACCTTTCCATGGGAAAGGTCACTGGTGAACTTAGACTTCCAGCATTCTCAGGAATTGTTCCCACAGCCAGACAGGAGCTCAGGACACCTACCAGGTTGGAGGTAGTGGAGAGCCCTGAGGGGCCTCTCAGAGACTGTCCCTAACTGGTGTGGGGAGGGGGTAGGGGTGGTCATGTTGGTGCCATCTGAAAGGTGATCACGATTACCCTTGAGTTCTTGCCTTTAAATGATAGTCTGGAAATCATCAAAGGGATAAGAAAGAAACCTGGTCCCTGCACTCTGTCTTAACCCCTAGCCCTGTCAAGTGTGGGAGTGATGGCAAATACATTCCTGGTCCCTCCTGGAGTTTCCCTGACCATCTGCTGTTAGAATCTAACAGTCAGACAAACAAGGCTGTGGATATGATCTCACTAGCCCACAGTTTTCTTTTAGAACCAGTGGAGCGCCCAGGTGAGCAGGGACAAGAGGCAAAAGGCCCTGCGTAGGGGACACGCCACCCATCCATGAGAGGGCCTTTGAGGAAATCCACTTTTAAGCCCCCTGTATAGAACTGCAAAACTTAGAAACAGTCGACAAGAAGCTTTGTGTTGAGAATTAGGACAGTTTATTGTTTGACCAACATGCTGAGTCTTTTCCACATATTACACAGTTGAATGTAAAGTCAATATGGCCGCTTGGCCTTCTGAGCCCATACAGATGGAAATGCCACCCTCTGTGTTCCTCACTTTAAAGAACAGGTGAGGTGAGAAGTCAACACACAATAGACAGGCTGGCCTTCATTGCTACGGGGGCTTCTTGCCTCCTGAAGGGACCATCTGAACTCCGCTACAAGGTTTTCCTGATAATCACACCCTGCAGGGTGTCAATCAGACAGGGCCTGGAGTCCAAGGAGTTTGCACACCGAAACTGCAAGATTTTGGAATACCGAAGAAGTTGATTTCAAACAAAAATTAAAAGGGTGCCCTGACTACTGCTCTCTGTGTGTGTGTGTGTACAAGACATTGCAAGTAGATCTGAGGCTCACCCTTTACAGCAAAGGAGCCCAAAATGCACCTATATTCTCTCTAGCTACTGAGGCTGGGAATAACCTTCCGTTCTAACCATGGAGTAGAGATGGCTTACGGACACGGGCACAGGATGCCGTCCTGTCTGCACACCCAGGTCAGCAATAGATGAAGAATGCCAACACTGGTTCTGATCATTCCTGGCTCCCAGGTGACCTTGTCTGTTTGGGTTCCCCCACCTGTGAAACAGGAAGGGTTTGGCTCCCAGTGCTGTGGCCAGGTGACAGTGCCTCCTATTCTTGGGGGAGAGGTAGTTTGGACACCAGCAAGCACTGAGCCCAAGCACTTGACACACTCAGACACACTCCCACTAGCTGGTTCTTGTCGCTCTGATTCATCAGCTTCAGCTACCCTGTCTTCCTGCCAGCCTCTCCCCCTTCCATATGGAGAAGGAATAAACCCTACCTGCAGGATGCTGAAGCCAGCAGTGCCTCACTGTCACACTGGGTGCTGAAGGACAGGCACTGGTTAGAGCTCTGACACTGGTTAGCCACTGGGTAACGGGGACTGCGCCCAGCTGTCTACACTCCTAGATATCACCTTGAACCCTTATCTCTGTTGCCTGATGTGGCCATGGCTTCTCGGCCCATCTTGGGATATTGCAGAATGTTTAAGGATGGTGTCAGGAAGGGAGCAGTGACCGTGACAGCAGTGAGGCTCTAACCACCAAGCTTTCTAGCTTCTGACCTCATAGCAACACTAGCCCTCAGGACACTCATGTCACACCATTTTGGTGTGCATGTGTGTATAGCTGCACCACCTGCCTTTTCTATCTTAAGACTATTTCTGCAATGCTCACAGAAGTTTTGCTGACAACTCTCCTTCAAGACTCCTAAAGAAAAGGAAGAGGGCCACGCCCATCTGCCAGGCCAGGCCCAAATGTCCAGGGAGAGGAACTGAATTACTAAGTTGTGATCATGTCCTAAGAAGAATGCTCCATTTTGTCTTCTGACTGATCTGGATTCAGCAAAGACGGGGACACTGAGATAATTTCAGAACCTGACCAGATCCTACCTACAAGCAGGAGGATGGGGGTGGTGGTAGTGAAGAGAAAGCCCCAGGAGCGACAGTTCTGTGCAGGGCCTGGCTGCCTTAATGGCCTTTAGGGAGGAACTGGGCCGAGGGAAAGGCCAGGGCACTACTGGGGTAGGAAAACAATGGGGCAGGACCCTCACTCTCAGAGACAACGAGGTCAGGAGATCTTAAACTTAAGAGGGGGTTTTGTGTACAAGCTTGGAAGGCAGGGCTCCTTAGGCCAGATCAACCAGGATGGCGTCCACCATGGTTCCCGCTGTTTCTACCAGCATGCCATGATGCCTTAGATTGTGTGCACAAGAGAAGGGAACTGGTTTGCTACTTAGAGTTACAGGAATACAAGAAAGGTTACTCTTCAGTGCCAAGATTAAATTCCACCCTACATTCATTCCTTGAGACACAGTACAGAGCCCTGTCAGTGGGGCTCTGCTAGAGGCTGCCAGTAAAGCCCCTCACTGCCAACCAGACTGCTGTCATCACCGGGCAAGTATGCCTTCTTCAAGCAAGCACCACTTAGGTGGGGTGCCCACGCTGGGGGGACACTGGCCCACAAAGGCATGCACACCTGTGCACACAGGTACATAAAGCAGTGGTGAAGGTAGTTCTGTGGACTAGTTTCGATTGCAGTTGAACACATCTATGCACTATTTTATTGAAGGCAAGACAACCACAAGTTATTTGACAATATTGAGTATTTCTTACTTCAATACACTGCATACTTTTGAACTTCCAAAACTGGAATCACAATGCAAGTTCCAACTTGAGAGCAGGAGCGACAAGAATATACATTGAGCACATGTATATGTGAGGATGTGTGTGTGTGTGTGTGTGGGGTGTATACACAAGTCTATCTCTATGTATAATTATGTACACACATATAAAAGCTGAACACGTGACGTTTCAATTACGCTCGTACATTGGTCCTTGCCTTCTGGAGAGGTACCCAGGAGGATCCTGCTTCCTCTCTTCTTCACCAGAACTGGCCCTGGCACTGTCTCCCAGGATGGAGAAGCATGG